TTTTTCCGTACGGATTGTTTTTCTTACAGATTGCTGACAGCAAACAGATCGAAGGCAGATCGAAGGCAGATTGCGACAGGGTATCGCTACCTAGAGTCTGAGCAATTGCTTGGTTCTGTTTTCTCTCTCTATCTATCTATATTTTTCCGTACAGATTGTTTTTCTTACAGATTGCTAACAGTAGACAGATCGAAAAGACAGATCGAAGGCAGATTGCGACAAAGTATCGCCACCTAGAGTCTAAGCAATTGCTTAGTTCTGTTTTCTCTCTCTATCTATCTATATTTTTCCGTACAGATTGTTTTTCTTACAGATTGCTAACAGCAGACAGATCGAAAAGACAGATCGAAGGCAGATTGCTACAAGGTATCGCCACCCAGAGTGTCAACAGGTCGAGTGCAACGCAGCTTTGACAACATTATCCGACCTTGCCTCAGTCGAAAACAAGATGCCGAAGGGAGAGAAGAACAAGACTAAAGCCCCCCGACCAACGAAGCCGTACGACCCGCTTCGGCTAGCTCCAGTGGATATTGACGAGAAGAATAAAAGCTATCTCCATGAATGCTTGTCAGACAAGCCGATCGGACGTGACAATCCCTTCCCCGCCAAAAGCTTGTACAGACGACCTAATGCTTGCGTCGCCTTGACGAGCAACGTTGACGGCTCTGCTCTGAACATCCATCATGGATTGAAGTATCGGCTCGACAACTTCTCGCAGAATCCGGCCTTCACCCTGTTGCAGACTGTCACCAACCCGGACAATACTAACGAGCCATACGCCTGCTTCATTCCAATCGGGTCGTCACTAAGTCTGTTGACGAGACGATCAACACTTTCACGGTAAAATATGACTCCGGAGAGCTTGCCGACCTGGCAGAAATCAACGCAAACCTCTCGAGTATGGAAGTCCCGCCGATCACGGCAGACGATCTACCAAGCATCACCGAGAAGTGCAAGGAGGGCATCGACGCGGGCTGAGAAGGCTGAGGTGATTTGACTGTTAAGAATAAATTGTCGACAATGATTAATGAATCTGACAATAAGTGATAAATTTGACAATGAGCGATGAATTTGACAATAGGTAAGTCATAAATTTGACAATGATCATTGAATATAACAATCATCTTAACTACCTACCTACACTCGCCCCTCCTTTGTGGCTATCACCCCTGATAGCGCAGGCCCTTTCCCCTTAATCCTCCACGACGCGGTTGTCCTCGTCTTGTTCCAGCACTACTTCTTCTCAATCCTCTACTACCATTTCCTCTCCATCTCGTCCGTCCTCCCCTTGTTCGTCTGCCTCCTCGGATTCTCAGGGTCGGTGACGGTGGTTCGATGGTCTTAGTGGCTGATACGGGGTCCCGTCTGGTTCGATGCTTGTTGGGTGTGGGATCGGATATCTAACACCCTATTTACCTACCTAGCTACTAGTTACCGAAATCTTCTATTGCCAAGTCCTTTAATAGACTCGCTCTTGAGTAAGAGTAGCGCTTATTCCGCGCCCCTAATAAGCGCAACTCGGGCAGGACCTGTTACGAAATGTTCTAGGAGAGGAGCTACTAATAGTTTGATTTATAAAGGTTTGACTGGATTCCTACGTCTTTATAGGCAAAATTCCTAAGGTAGTAATTAGTTTTAGGAATATGTAAGCGATTGCCATCACGATATCAATATGTTCGTAATTGATTGTGTTATAAAAGCTCTCTTCATACCTGGATGGGTACAGACAGCACTACTTCAGCCGCATGAACATTTTCGTGGAAGAGCCGCATCGGTAACGATCAGGGTCCCGAGGAAATCTCCTGGTTAGCCCTACGCCCAGTCCAAAAGCCAACTCGTGAATCACGCGGTGAATTTACATATTTTATTTAAGTAGGGTTCGATCTGCCCCTCTACTCCTCTACTCCTCTACTCCTCTACTCCTCTACTCCTCTACTCCTCTACTCCTCTACTCCGACTCTCATCAAACATTCTTCTCGAGTTCTCCTCAGTGGTCTTTCCATCTTGGGAACTAACGACCATACCGAGTGAGGTGCGACTTCCCTTTCCGTCGGTTGGCCATGCTATTCCCTTCTCTTTCCTGTATCTTTGCGTTTCTGCTCCTTTCTTCCTCTTTTCTCCTCAGTTATCTGATTCCGTGAAAACGTCTCTCCTAACTCGACTTTCTGAGCAATTGCTTGGTTGTGTCATCTTGTTGAAGTTACAGATTGTGTAGAGATTGAGTACAGATCGAGTACAGATCGAAAACAGATTGTACTCTCATTGAGCACAGATTGAAAGCAGATTGAGTTCAATCGACTTCAATCGAATCCAACCCCAGTGTCCTTTCGAGTCCTTGTCTACCTGCTAACATGGATTCAAGGAAAGACCTGCGAGCCTAAACCTCCCCATTCCAAGCCCATCGCGACGGAAGCTGTCCTCGACTGATGAGAGTTCGACCTCAAATTCGACTGCAAACAGCAATACTAGTACCAAGACAAACACCAGTGCTAGTACTGCCCTCACCACTACATCCAGAGAGGAATCACCCGAGTAAAAGAAGAACGAGAGCCCAGAAGATATGGCACAGCAATCGCCGCAGACTGCTCAGCAGCTTCCTCCCGACTGGACAGAGTACTATGCAGGCTTTCCTGGCAATCCGAAACTGCTGGCGAGAAGTAGCAGAGCCACCTGGACCCAGCCCACTGGCTCCTACAACACCCTCACATTTCCACCTCCTGGACCTGCACGCAAGCTGTCCTTCGTCATAACTGGCCACTCAGCCCACTCTCTCTCGCAAAAACTCGACAATGGCCTGAGGGACTCTATTCTCGCAATTCTTGATACTATGAGCCCAAAGAAATGGATATCCGTGGATTATCTGCGGATAGGGTACGATGAGGAGGCGGTGAACAACCCGGTCGTGGTCCTGATTACCGTTGAGAAGGACATTGTATCTCCGACTGAAGCACAACGAATAGTTGATGAGATACATCGTGAATGCGAAAGGTAATTCCCTTTCTCGTTTCTTGTCCATATTTGAGCAATGTACTGAGACTGTATATAGGGAAGATCTTCACGACATCGATGCCGAAATCATGGAAGGAAGTCAGGTAGAATTCGCCGACAATGACACAGGACCGATTCCTCGGACAGAAGACTATCCCCTTGTTGGGTCTTCGCTAGCGATATCTCGAGACCATGCGGATATTTTCTCCGCAACTGGTACGCTTGGGGGTTATGTATTAGTGGATGGTAAATGCTACGCATTGACGAACAGCCATGTCGTCTTCGGGGACAAGAAATCGGCATATTCAGCAGACGACGAACCCGAAACTGCACAAATTACCATAATGCAGCCTTCAGAAAAAGATCTTGAGGCAAGAATAGCAGATCTCGAGCGCCAAATTGACCAAGAGCTGGAAACTCCCCATCCCCTTGATGAACACCTTGTCAAATACTACGAGCAAGTGTTAGATCACCACAAGAAACGACAGGCAAATGGCATCGTTTTCGGCCGGGTATGGAGAAGCTCGGGCATTCGAGTTGATGAGCAGGCGCAAAAAGGTCGCCGGCATCGTCTAGACTGGGCATTAATTGAGCCCCATAACCCAAACCGCATCGTAGACACCAAGAAGCTCGTCAACCAGGTATGTCATTCCATGGAAAAGGATGTCCTGACTCAAGTGCCTGACCTTCATCACTAGCTCCATCCTTACAGCCTACAGAGGACGTGCAAAGGAAATAGTTATTTTAAATCTGCAATGAAACTGGGACACGATGAGAAGAAAACGATTCGTGATATGCCTTCTCATCTCGGAAGGGCTCTCACTTGGGCCGAGGTGAAAAACCGCCAAGAGACCATAGAGATGACCGACGGAAAGTACTATGCCGTCTGGAAGTTTGGTAGGACCAGTCACTACACCTGTGGCATAGCATCCGGTATCCAGTCAAACTATCAGGACCAAAATGGCATGGTTTCGGACGAATGGATGGTCAAGGACAACAATGTGCGCCGCCGCTACGACTCCTCCTTTAGTAAACCTGGAGACTCCGGAGCATTTGTCTGGGACTGTGATGGCTACGTTTCTGGCATGCTGTGGGGTGGCAAGAATCAGACCTTTGTTTCGTACGTGACGCCGATCGAAGTCGTTCTCGAGGACATAAAACGGGTCTGCAAGGCGAAGGAGGTCCGGCTGGTGGTGCGTCCTGAGGAGGAAACCAATGTCGTTTTCGGTCCACTGAAACAGTCACGGCGCGGGCTCGACTTAGAATCAAACGAAAGTGGTTTCTCCCTGTTTGACGACGATATAGACGAGTTGTTTGCGGAACTCAAGACAGGTCTGTAGTCGCTTGAAAGTCATCGAATTCTGTAACGTCTTCTCTAGCTAGCTCCGCTTCAATTGATTGGCATGAGCATTCGCATGGTGCCAATACAGGGCTATAGTCCCTTGGATGATACAAACATGTAGGGATGACCATTTTGGAGGATGATCACCAAAAGGCTACTCTACACGCTGTGCCGCTCATGCTGCTCGAGTACTTCACCTGCTCTATGGATTTCCGCCCTGCAAAATGAACAGAGAATTTGTCCTCTACCTTCCTATATCTTGCACCAGGCTGACTCGTCGTTCCATCAATAGCAAACTGCACCTCATATTCTAACTCGCTCTTAAAATGATGTAAGCTAATCTCATTTCTACATGCTGACAGCCTGACATTGGTATACGATGATTTTGCGAGGTTGCCTCGCTAAGCAAGCACATTGTCTCAGCGCGTGTCTTTTACCATAGGATTCATCTCTGAAGTGTGCCTTTGATTGATGTTGATTTCGTGACGAGATTAGCTTCGATAAATTCTTGAGCAATCAACTCCTCTTGAGCAGACATAAAAATGCCACTCGAAAAGAGAGACCTCTCTAGCATTACCACAAATGATGTGCCCACACCAGAGATTCAACTGGCAAGCAAGGCAGCGCAAGGGACTTCCGAATGCTCGAGGTGCATTGAGCTTGGAATACCCAGTCTCTTGGTATCCCTTGGCCGACCCATCAATCGTGCGCAAGGCGAAGACACGTCTGCCATCTTTGTACAACGGCTCATCATCGACCCTAGCAAATCGATATCCCAGGACTGTAGCTCGTGCTCGACCTTGGATCAAGTGACAAACTACTGGGTCAGGCTGAAGGCTCCACGGCTGCAGCAACTTGGGCCTTGGGCAAACGACACCTGGGAGAAATCTTGGTTTCAGAGGGAAGGGCGTTGGATCTTCCGATGTACAAGTGAAGAACACGACATGTGGTCCATAGGCCTACCCGACAGTGAAGGGCATTTACATTGGCGGCGCGATGCCTTTGGACCTTTACGCCCCTCCGGCTCACGTCTACAAGACAATGATGTCAGGCGTGTCATGGCACGACCAAATTACAACACCATAGATGAATGGTTGAGTTATTGCTCGCAGAATCATCCGAGATGCCAACCTCAATGCTCGAGTGGCCTACGCTCAATTACCTTGCTCGACGTCCATACTCGGCGACTGGTTCAATATCCATCTGCAGATGGCCAGGGATGCGATTATATTGCTCTAAGCTATGTATGGGGCAGCACGCCCCAGCAAACTATCAGTAAGACCAAAGCATTACCAGAGAATCTTCCTCGAACCATTAGCAATGCTATGACAGCCGTGAACGAGCTTGGGAAACGATATCTTTGGGTCGACTCGATTTGCATTGATCAGTCTAATTTGACCGAGAAATCAAATCAAATCGAGTTAATGGATCTCATCTACCAAGGCGCATTTGCCACCATCGTCGCCCTCGACGGTACAGATGCGGACAGTGGACTACCGGGAGTGGATCGAGAAGCAGAGAGGAATCCACAGATGTTCGTGGATTTTGGCGACACCCGTTTAGTTTCCAAATTGCCCACATTAGATGAGCAACTAAAATACTCACCGTGGATGCATCGGGCGTGGACATACCAAGAAGCCTTGCTTTCACAACGACTTCTCATCTTCACCAAATATCAGACGTATTTCGTCTGCAACGAGCTAGAGTGCTGTGAATCTCGCCACGACCCTGAAGGTTTTGTACAAGACCGCAAGCCTGGCCCACATCCACTTAGGGACCCGCTTGTTGATCAGCAGTATAGAGTTTATAATGAGAAGATAAGCCTTTACAGCCGTGTCATCAGTAACTACGCCAGTCGGAACCTAACCAAGGACTCGGATTCTCTGAATGCGGTATCTGCCCTTCTCCGGCAGATGCAAAAGAAGGTATTCCCAGAAGGGTTCTTCTATGGGCTACCCATAGTACGTTTCCGCCAGTCTCTGTTATGGCTCCAAGAAGTACCAGAACGACTTCAGCTGGTGAGAGATGCTCGTCAAAGAGCAAGGCGTCGTGCCGATGCCGGGTTTCCTAGCTGGAGCTGGGCGGCGTGGAAATTAGAAGGCGGAATATATTATTGGGTGGGTAGTGACGATGCAAAGCAACAAAGGCTTCAACCACCACTGCGTGTAAGGACAAGGGAGGGACAAGAGATCCCTCTAGATACCGTGACAGAAGCCGAAGCTACACCACCAGAAAACTGGAGCGATGAAAATGAGAGCGAAGAGACGGAAGAAATCATAGCTGATGTCCGCGGCCTATATCAGCGCCTACATAGTCAGAGTCAGGCCGAGACTCCGATATCTTCTCGTCTCTCGCGCCAATGTAACATTGAAATCTCGGACATCGCAGCCAGCAGTCTTGATATCACGGGGATTCTCCTAACTCTACCGGTCACTATAACAGACGTCTCGTTATGGCCCGGCGAGCGTGGCAAAGCCCCTCGATTCTCCCTTCCCGACGAACTAAGCGGCGATGAAAGGATCTCCGTATTCTGGCACATGGACGGGGAGTACAGCTTCGTCGCGACAGAGGGTGAAGACCGGTCTAACGATTTCCTCCTGATATCCGTCGAATGGTTGACTTATACTCAAAGGTTTAAGCTGGAGATGCTCCTGTTGAATTGGAAGGAAGGAATTGCGTCAAGACGCGGAGTGGTGATGTTTTGGATTAATGGGAACCTTCTTAGAGACCTTTTCAAGTATGCGAATGCTAGATTAGCGAGTTTTTGGCTTGAGTGATGAGAGGGAGATGCATTCTGCTACTTAGAAGTGTTCGCTTTTATGTCTAGATAGTCCAGCCTTTGGGCCTAGGAGGTGGGAGAGGAATTGGGTATCAAGCAACTGAAAACTTGCTCCGCCTTGGACTAAATCTGTTGAATTAAAGATTGTCAAACTCTGTTGCCCACCAAAAACACTCCTCAGGTAGTGTTTATACTTATAAGGTCTAAGGAGGAGTCGAGGACTGACAAGTGACAATAGGTCCTGCTTATCGTACCATCATTTGAGTCATTTGTGATACATCCAGGCACTAACAAAGTATTATCAAATACAACATCAAGGAATCAAATCCCTTTATAAAGCTCTCCAACTTCTCCCGCGCACTATAAGCAGACAAGGATCCTCTACATCCACTTTCAAGGCAAAGCTTCCGGCACTAAGAGTTCCTCCCAAAAAGCAGACGAAGAATAACAAGCAAAAAAATCATCAAAACAGAAAAAGCTACAAGATCCTCGATTTCCAGGTCTGATTGTGAAGTTTGTGAAAGGCTTTCGAGCGTAAGATTTAACGGAGGATGTCAAACACTACAGCAAATTGAGTTGAATGACTTCTTCGATTTGATGATATATCATATATCGGCCGAGCATTGTGTACTTTAAAGCTAAAGATAGAATAGAAATTAAAATGCTACAATGACAATGCAAGACTGCTCTTGACGTGACCCCCCCTCCCCAAACAAAAACAAAAAAACGTTCGAAAGGGCTTGAACGATCCGCACGTCATAGCAGAAAGAGAATCTAAATCTGAGGCTATTCATATTCGAAGCTATTCGAAGTCGGGACAGGCAGACGTCCAGGCAAAGTTCAAACTTAAAGTTTAAAGGTTTGCTTTGCTCTCTGGTCTTGTTACTTACCTTACCTTACGTAAGCCCTGAGGCAATAAACGCGCTCACGTGATCTACCCCCCCTTTTCTCGCTCGCTTAGGGCCGTCTCCAGTTTTTCATATCTTCCTCTCGATCCTCAACTACTAATGTTTTATATTCCGCAAACTGTACTTAGTCGAACAGAGTATTTAAAAAGACTCTAGAATCAGGCATTTAGTCCGGTTATCCTTGATTTTGGGGGAATCTAAGGATATCCGAGTGCAGGCTTTTGGAGTGACAGGTGAGTCGCTCGTGGTTCTTAGGTTCTTAGCCGAGACAGCCAGTCGAATACTATTCTTATGTATCTTATATAGTTGGGCAGGGTTGGATATGGCTCATTTTCACTGCACTTATACATAGAACTTCCATGACAAGTTTCAAGTCATGAACTATTCATTATTAGACGTAGTCCGAAGGCTCCAAACGCATAACTAGGTAGTAACATAATAAAGTACAAGTAAAAATAATAACCTGCCCGTCCTAAACCCCGTATTATTATTCCATTTTCCACTCATACATACCACCATAACACCGTTTAAAGTACACTCCCACCAATCGCATTATCAAATAGCCTCCTCCTCCTTACAACTTCTTGAGACCGTCATGATTCAGTACCGTTGTACCCAGGTTTCGGGATTCCTGTTTGAGAAAGTCCTGTGCGCCGGTAGGACTGGTGTCCTTGAAGTCGCTACTCAGATCTTCTTTTCCATACTTGTCGGTCGTACCAGAGATTGGTTTTCCAGATTCGTCGCTCGCGGTCTTGGATTCGTTGGGGTAGCTATTTTTCAGGACGTACGGCTCCTCTTTGCCTTGGTGCTTGCGCTGTTCATGGCCGGGACCACTAACGGGATCGGCCCCTGAAGAGCCAACGCCTTCATGCTTGTTATATCCATAATCAGCGACTCCAACCCCGCCGGCTCCTCCTGTTGCATCACGTCCATAATTATCATGACCAGTCCGAACTGGGAGATCGGTGGTACTTGATTTATAGTCCTCGGATGTGGCTGGCTTTCCTGTTAACGGGAAAACACGCTGCGGCTTGTCATTCTCGTACTCTCCCCCACCTCCAACCGCGGCCGCATCTCTGCTATAGCTCTGTTCCTTTGATCGGCCACTTTCTAGTGTCGAGTTTGCCTTATTGTCACTGGGTGAAATCCCTGCAACTCCAGAGTCTGTCTTCTTGTGTCGATGTTTATCAGCCTCATACCCAGTACCGCTAGCACCGTCGGAATCCCCTGCGTAATCGCTATCTTTTCTGTAACTTGTGCCAGATGTGGTCTTATCTGCTGATGCCCCACTGCTGGTTGTTTGTTCGGGTTCTAGTTTGGAATGCACCCTAGGGTCGAGCTTATTCATCCAATCGTGCTTATGCGGCCCTGCCGTGTGGGGAGCTGGCCCGGTCGATGCACTATCACCCTTTTCAAGCTTCTTGTACTCACTAATATAATCGTCAGAACGACTTTCACATACATAGGTTTTGAGATCACTTACTGCTCTGCAGAACTAGCTCTGCCTGTACTTCCTGCTGTCTCACTTCCCACGTGGCGGCCAGATTCGCCAGTGGTTGAGGCAACGCCAGTTGCTCGTTCAGATTCAGGCTTGCGAAGTTCACTTTGAAAGAATCAGCAACTTTCTTCACGACTCCGTTTCACGCAGTCGACTTACGGCTCGGCGAGACCAGCATTACTAGTGCTAGTAGCTCTATCTATACCTAGATCTTTGTCGGATGAGCTGGTTGTTTTATGGGTGCCTGTAGCATTATAACCAGTTGTGGCATAAGTGCCCGTGGTGTCAAGAATATCTGGTGTACTACCCTTGCTAGTGGTGGTAGAGATTCCTGTGGTTGACGCAACACCGAGGTCTCGCTTGCTGCTGCGTTCACTGCGAAAATCAGTTACTTGATCGACTCAATTCATCCGTCTTCAGGAACTCACCTCCCAGCAAGACTACCACCTCTGCTCACACTAACAGGAGTATCACTTTTGAGGTGATGAAATTCATCCGCAGATTTGTCCCCACCACCATGTGTGGGCGAGTGGTGGTGAGCATCCTCGAGCTCAACCTTGCCGGATGTATCGATCGATGGATCCAGTCTGTTGGCAGTGTACGTTTTATGGGGTCCCCCAATATCAGTGAAGATTGGGGTCGGACGCCCTGTTTTGTAGTGATCGTGAACCCCACCTGCAGTTGTCCCGATAGTTCCTGCAGTGGTAGCATCTTTCCCGATGTGCTGTCCTGAGGACTGGCTTGTAGAATTCGTGTCGTATCCAGCATCCTTTCTAAGGTTCTCACGCGTATTTTGCCGGTGGAGATATCCGCCACCGGCTGTTCCTCCTTCAGAAGGTTCACGGCCAAGACGATTATTGCCGGTGTGCTTACTTGTCGAAGTGGTAGTGGCACCAGTGCTGGAGCTAAGCTTGCCTCCCTCTCCAGCACCAGAGCCAGCTACTTGGGCCGGATATGTTTCAGACGTCGTTGTTCCTGATGAGACACCAGTGTTTTGAGGCCTGGTGGTACTGGTTCCGGTGGTAGTATTCTTACCCGAGTCTAAGTGTCTCGAAGTATTGCCCTCCCCAGTGGTGAATCGATTCCCAGTGCCAGACGCATTGTCTCTTTCGACATAATCACGGGGATGGCTTCCTTCATCACTCAGGCGCTCGCCATTCTCGTAAAGACTCCCATCGTCTGATTTCTTGTGATGGGAACTATGAAAGTTAAATCTTGAAATGCAAAGGGGTAATAGTAAGCAGCATACATGATCTTCTTGAATTTCTCCATGGTTTAGGTAGTACTAGTTGCCAAGTAGAAACGCTATTAGTGGAGGAAACATAGAATTGGGGTATCTTGATGGTATCTTGTGTGAATATCACTTGAGTTGAAAAATTCGAGATAATTGATCGCAGGAGGAGAGAGAGTTTAAATATACTTGTACTTTGCACCTGGTGCAAGGAACAGGATGGTGAGGGGAAGTGGAAATAGCGATGATGTCGTTGTGGCGTAAGCTCAACTCCATCTCGGGAGCTTCTCCTCTCAATCCTATACCAACCACGGAATGGGGTTGAACCGCAAGGGGGATTGCCGCAATGCTGTAATGGAGCACGAGGCCACCTCGGGCAGGGCACTCCGCGCAAACGTCATTCATGAGGAGCAAACGCCTATTAAGCTAGAACTTAGAAGCTGAACAAAGGCTATTATCACGCCAAGAAGAGTGAGAAAAATGGGGAGAACGCCGCTCCCAGGGACCTCGGCTTTGAATTGTGTGAGGAAGCAGGGAAATGATTGGTCTGCACAGATTGCCGGCGATCTCTACTAAAGAACCGCGTTGCTCTGGCCTCTCACCTTGCTCTCTGCCTATTGGCCAACGGGAAAAGAGCAAAGCCGGAGAATTGTCAGATCTGAGGCTGGACTAGATCACTAGATCGCTTGGTGAACTGTTATGCTCTGCTTGCCCCGCAGCGTGGAATTGACAGTCGGGAGTGGGCAAAGTGGTTGAGTGGTAAAGGGGTGGACTGAGGATTAGATCGTCAACTGTTGTCATGGGTGTGGCTTTATCAGGCCTTGATCAGCCTTATCTTGGTAGTTAGCGCACCGCTATACCGAAAATGGGTGAGGCTGAATGCGTTCTAGCCACCTGTGGCACAGGCGGACTGAGGCGGTGTCTCCAATGACGTGAGAAGAGGCGACCGGGCAAATCTGTTCGATCAGTCTCAAACTCTAAACTCCACCAAGACGTGGATGGCATGACCATAGGGGACCATATGCTCCACGCACACCAGGGACCCAGTTGCAGGAGCAGCGGGATCTCCAATGTTGTGCTTTGTTGATCGCCAGGTACTCCTTCGCAGAGCCATTCAGTCATGTTGCGTCCAGGGCGCGTTAAAGGGTCTTCGTAGATGGATCATGGAGATCGGCCGATCACGGATTAGCAAGGATATCAGATCAGTTTGCCTTGAAAGGTCAAGGAGCGTTGCGGGGCAACATGTAGATCTTACCCCGTTCCATTCCCAACTCACTATCTTCTCTGTTGATACAACCTGGATACATATTTCCTCTGAAGGTTAAGCTGCTTCCTCAAAGCTGCGTCAAGTTGATGCTCAAGTTCAGGCCCTCGGAGTTGGACGGTCGTTTGCCCCTCTCCTTCCCCTCTCTACTTCCTGTTTCCCAAGGCTACTGCGACCTGTTCAGAACTTTTGTCCATTAATCGATCTCCCCGCCAGCGTACTGATCAAACTCAGGCCAGTATCGGTTTGAATCTAGCAATATATCAGTTAACGGGCTGCAATTTGACGTGGCCGGGCTGGCTGCCGAGCCGCTGCTCCACTGGCAGTGCCATATTGCTCTCTGGTCACGGTGTTGTAGCAATTACACATAATGTCACATTCTGCAGTAATCTCACTGTTTCTGGTTCCAGGAAGTAGCTTTCTAGATGGTATCCGGATGACGCCGACGACGATGTCTCCATGATCACTCAAGGTATCATCAACCTGATCGCGGGAGGAGCTCCCATTGTATTCCTTCTTCATTTAAACAGTGGTCTTGAGGCCTCTTTCCAGAGCGTTTCGTTCATTTTTTTGTCATGTTTTTCTAGCTTTGAGCATACTGAAAACGCATTCCCTGTGATTTATCTGTTTGTTAGATCAATTCTTTCAAAAGCAAGGAATTAGGCGGGGAAATTGAGAATAAATACACGTACTTCACACCAGGCCCAACCACTACGATTTCTTGCTTCTTCTTTAGTGACAACTTTGCCTTCTCCTACCCAGACCTCCTGGATACCGTCGATTTTTCCACCTCGTAAAGCTTAATAAGAGCTTTGATATTAACATGTTGTGGTTCAGGTTAGTACAGAGGATTTTTTGGATCGAGAGTCCCGGACGTCTTGGATAGGCCCTAGGATATCAAAATTCAGAAATTGAGGTATAGCAGACAGGAATTTGGTTTGTTCGGCCATTCTGGTAAGACAGGAGGAGTTGATTGAAGTTCTAGGGAGATGGAGGGGCTCAATGGCTAATCGTCGGCCTCGCTTAGGTAGCCCGTTGATAGGTGTACTCCGGAAAACACCCCTGAGATGTTGATTTAGCCGGGAGTCAAGTTGAGGCGAGGTGGCATTTGGTAGAACGGTTACAACTTCTTATTCACGACGCGCTGCATTCACGCTTCCTCGAGCGCATTCTCAACCATCCTGAAAAGAAGAACGCTCATTCTTTCCTTTGCGAAGCTGTCCAATCGGCCACTGCAAATTCTTCGCCATGGCAGACCAAGTGCAAGAAATCCTCGACGTGCCGCGCGAGTTCTTGAAAGATGGCATGCAGTTCATCAACAGAAGCCAGAAGCGTGAGTCTTTCCCGAGGGCCAATGCTGTCAATGGGCTAGAGTGCTAATATAAATCTGACTACAGCTGACCGAAAGGAGTTTATCAAGATCTCCCAGGCCGTTGGTGTAGGTTTCCTCATCATGGGTGCCGTCGGCTTCTTCGTAAAGCTCAGTAAGGTCTCCCTTTTCCCGCTCGATCGAAAGCGCATCAGCTAACCTCGCAATAGTCCACATTCCCTTGAACAATGTCCTAGTCGGTGGCGCATAAACGATTGATCTCGATGCGGGGGCGTGGAAGCATGGGCGAAGGGCGAGGATAAAAAGGGTCAATTTGCAGTCATAATCGACAGAACGAGTGGAAAATTCATATCGGGAGTTTCTTGGAAGTAGGGGCAATTGGGTCAATGCATAAACGTGAGGGCTTAGCAGCCTTCGATAGACGTGGAAGGCGGACGAGACATCCATCTAATATCTGATACGGGCTCACACCCGCTGCAATTGTATAAGAGTTCTCTTGGCCTAGTTGGCAGAGCACCGGAACCCTTCCTGTGCATGGACATATCGACACATCTTCAAGTTCCTATGTACGCTTTGCTTCTCAATACCTCAAGGGGCTGTCTATTTGACTTGGACGATTCCAGTGAAGTAACCCCAGATCTCGGTGTGCATGAGGGGCGGCATTGACGCCAAGGCATTTTGGACGGTGGGGACGTCAGAAGAGGGGAGAATGGGCCCAGAGGGTATTTCTGTTCTGCGAGGGCAGTGCGAGAAGCCTACATGAGTCCTGATTTCCCCCCCACCTGCTATCTTTCTACAGTCCAGTTTCCACAGCCAGCAGCAAGCAGAGCATTTCTTGAATACTACAATTATTTCCACGCGCTCAAGATGGCCACGTTTGCCTTCAAACCATGTACCTATGTACCAACTGCTCCGCGTTCCAAGAACGTAACAAGCCGCCGGAAACCTGCCTCGAAGCCAATCAGCATCTTCGACAAGCATCAATCCGAGTTGTGCAGAACGCAGCACGCCGCAATCAGCAGCAGCTGACGATTGTGGGAGTGACGATCTTGGAATTCGAAGTAAGTTCTGAGCTCGAGATGTTTGGCTGGTAGCAATTGTAACCAACCTTGGACATCTGAGAGCAGTGAACGATATGGTCACCGACGAAAACGACGACGACTGCGAGCTTCCCTTCATCGAACAACTGCTATATACCACGCTACAGAAGGAGAGCTTTGCAGCGGAGGACCAGCCCCTAAATAAAGCAATCTTCGAAGTTAGGGATAGAACTACAAGTGAGAGAGGCGGCTCTCTTGATGATAACGGGTCAGCGCCAGGTGGTACCCAAGCGGTAGTCCAGGTAAGCACGCTCTCTATCCTCTATCGTGAAAACAGACGACCAGTTTTTCTAACATAGTATAGGAGATCCAATTGTGCTGCTGGCGATGACGACTCAAGTGCCTCTAAAGCTGAAGTCGACGACACATGGTCTTCGTGCTGAAAGTGCAGCGGCAGATAAGGAGGGCCTTCTCGATAGCCTAGAGACCGACATCGACTCAGCAACCCTGGCCCCTCCCAATTCCAATGTATGGCACGATATTGATGACTTACTCGAGGCAGCGGAGCGCTTGCGGCACTCTGAACCAAAACTTTCGACGTCCAATCCCTTGCGCCAGATGAAAGCTTAAGGCTGGCCACCCACGATCCATCTCCAGAGCCGAGTCAGGAGAAGTTAGGGAGCCATAGCAGTAATCTCAGTGACGACGAGTTTAACAGCAATCCCGTGTCGATCAACGTGGATAAGGAACCACGTCCAGACGTCCTGCTAAGCAAAAACGATCATCCTCATCTACCTAACAACCCAATATACAAGAAGCGCAAGCGCTATCTTGCGCAGAAGTCTAACCCCTAACGTAGACCACCCGCCAAACTCCGTCCGCACTCTCCGAAATCATACTCCCCTCTTGATCATGGTTCAGGAGTCATTGCAGTGTCCAGAGTGCCAAGGGACGATTTCCTTCGCCAGCACCTTCGAAGCCACAAACCATAGATATAGAGATACCATCTGACTGCAACAACCTTGACCGATCATCTAGTGATATCGTACCGACGCTGACCGAGGTTACATTTTCATCCCAGATATCGTTGTATTGTACAGTTTTCCCTAGGTCCTCAGTAGCAGTTAGTTACCTCTTGACTCCGCGACCGTCAACTGCTCAATAGGTATGCCAGCCACTCCAGCAGATAGAACACTGACTTTCAAACCATACAGTATTCCCAAAACCTTTCATGAACAAACGATACGCCTTAAAATACTAACTTACTTGTAATCGGTAAAGCTACTCAGTAATGTAACTCTACCGACCCTTTTCTCTCGGCTTTTCAAATTCGCCCCCCTTAATCCCCCAAGACAAGGAAGTATTAGGGGTAACGTCTCGCGAACTAACACGGCTTAATTAAGTATTAGCTTCCTTTAGAGAAGCGGCATTATAGTCAAAGATATAGTGACTTTCTAACCCTTATAACAATCTAGGTAGATTCCCCTAGCTTAGATACCTTAAAATCTAGATGAATTGTTCAATTTGGAGATGTTAGTAACTACCTAACTTTAAAGAGCGCTTGAACGATTCGACAGCGGCTCACAGTGGCTCGCTCGACCATGAGATATTAGAAAACGTGTCCGTATTCTCGTCGTTATGCAGAAAGAATATAAGCTTAGGTTAATTCAGTACTTCTTTTTCTTGTTCTAAATAAGTATTAGTTAGCAAAAGGAAGAAGTAACCAGAAGTATTCAAGTATCTTGGGGGAGAGGAGTGGATGAATCCTCTGTTCAGAATATATGTTTGGACTCGGATCAGAATGAAAAGTAATAACATGCAGTGCTCAAGGCATCAGTCAAGGAGCAGTATAATCCACGACTACTTTGCCGGGCTCCAGAACTCTAGCACGCAATTCAGATGAGTTTGATAGCACCTTTCCAAGACGGGTTGTACATTAGAACTGTGACCAAAATCAAAAGCAATGTACATCCGGGTATGTTTTCCAAGTCGGCGCTGTTCACAAGCGAATCCTACTGTTGTAGGTCCTCGGTCTCCAAAGCAAACTCGAGCGAATCTATACGCTCTTTAATTTCCATAATTGAACTCTCCCTCTCGTGCCAGTCGCTGTCCCTCTTCTTTCTCTCTGTTCTCGACTTCCCTTCACAATTGACCCTACTTCCACAATAAGCATTTCTTTCCGCGCAAGTCTTTCACCGCTTCCCTGAATATTCAATTCATCCAAGAATCAACATCGCAGAATGCAGTAGGTAGTAGGGGGCCCCTCCAGCAACAAAGACGCCAATTGAAAGACTCAATAATTTCGGTAATCCCAGGAGATAACTCCAGGCTCGTACTTCTGCACAACATTCCAATTTGGATTAAAGAAAATCTCCCCTCTGCGCACTTCTGTCCACCATACACAATCACGGTGTCTGGGCATCCAAAAAGTCCCCGGCTTGAATGTCAGATTCAGGTAATGTCTGAGGGCAAATTGCCACAATTCCAGCGTTGGAGGTGGTCCTGGATGCTCCTCGCGCCAAGGGATATCATTTCTCGGTCTCTCGAGGTCCCGGCGGTTGAGTTCATCCATAATGGTAAAAACATCAATCTGATCCTTGATGTCCTTCCCTACTGTGTCCTCTAATGCAGGATGATGCAATTGTGCCCAAAGGCGTATGTCTGTTAGATCCTCAGCTGCTGCGGGCATAGTAATTTCCTCAACCGCGAAATCGCCGAATCGCACAATGGAGACGGTCCTGTTTCCTTGTTTCTGCAAGTAGGGAGGATGGGGAGGATAGGAAGGATCGGCTACTGTGAAACAATCGTCAAGGTGATCATAAGCCACCAAAAGAAGCATTAGTTCCCTGACTGCGCCAATATCTGCTCTGTTCTCAGCCCAGTCCGGCTCAGTGTCGTTTGGATCTCAAGGTTCATTCTGCTCTCTCATTCTTCCATCCTCGATGATCCAAGAAGCGAGTGGTCCAAAGCAAGTCTCGTACTCTCGGTTTCTCCACTGTCCGATCTTGCTCCAATCTGGGACGTCGAAGTTATATACAGGGAATTGACGAACATAGTCAAAGTCTACTTCTTTTGGAGAAGTATCAGTTTCGTCGACCTGGTCCATCTCCTCCGACCAGTAGTAGTGACGATCCGCCCAAATGAAAAAGAATCTAGCGTTCCCCTCCTCCCTGGCCTGGAAAAGGGGTGCCATGTAAGGTCTAGCAAGTACTGCTCCAGCAAGCAGCAATCGATACATGGCCCTAAAGAAGCCATCTCGGAAAGAATCGATTTTTGCGTTCTCAGCACCTAGGATATTTTCCTTCAAATAATATGGGAATCCCTGTCGCGCTGCGGGATTCCTATCACGCCTGATATAGGGGAATAAGTTTGTCTCGTACCTTTTGTGGAATTTCGAGTTAAGAAAAATGTACTCGATGCATCGGACTAGGTGCTGCATGTTCAAGACTTCTTTGAGTTCGGCAAGGTCTGGGAGCTTGGATTTCCCGCTCAGCGAGTTGATTGCGACGACGGCTGGTGGAAGGGCCCCCGCCTGGTAAGCTTTGAGAACGATGGCTGTTGCTCGCACCTGAGAATCTCGTCAGGCCTGAGGAGCTGTACTGAGTAGGCTGGGAATGTATCCTTACCGCCATCAGGGCATCATCAAATGAACGAATCTGGGATCTGCCCACGATCCAGATGAGTTTTGGTGAGTTAGTGACCCAGACCGTCTGGGTATGCTTGCACGCTGACGCAAGTGCGACGACTTGCGGGAAGCCATCGCAGGATTCGAAGATGCGAATTAGGATCTCGACTGGGATGGAGAGTATAGGGGATTCCATCTTCTGAAGTTGTGAAGATGTGGAGATGTGTGCGAAGAGCTTCAAAGGAGAGGATTTGAGGGACGGAGTATCAGCCTTATCTATCGGATCGGGAAGGTGAGTCAATGGATCAAATACCAACTGTTGGTACTATTCAATAGAGCAAGATATCACTATTCCTATAACAATGCCCTGCTTCTTAGTCAACTATTACTATAGAGATTAACTACACACTATTACACAAGATGTATAATAAGTCTACCATAGTCACAGTTTCTTTTCCTTTATTTTCTGCGTTACGAAGAGCTGAAGCAGAGAGAGAGGGAGACATCTATCTCAGGAATTCAATCCTTAATTCTTCATTCTCATTTCGAATTTTAACCTACCTTATTCATCATATCCATATACACGTCTTAATTGATATCTATTGTACACATCATGTCAGATAACAACATGATTTCATTATGCCTGCCGGCATGGAGACCCAATCCCAGACCAAGACCCTGCCAGATATCTATCTGATCTGGGCCTATATACATGCAAACCGTCCAGAACGCCACCCCATGCTGTCGAGCATAATTCATTTTTATCCCATCTCGTCTACGCCTTGAAATAGCTTATCGTATCATACATCTCGTGTCGTTGCGCCTTGGCTATCATGTGCCCGGTTGGCTTCCCAGTTGTCTAGCATCTTGCCCACTTCCTTGAAGGCTACGGGCTTCGTGAGAAAGAGATCGATGCCTGATGCTAAGGCTTCGTTCTGGTCTCTGCTGCTCGCCAGCCCGGTCAAGGCGATGACTAGTGCCGGAGTTTGTTTCGACTTTTGTTCACCCCCTTTGTTGCTCTCCTTATCCTCACCGGCGTCATTAGCGCTGGTCTCGGATGCCTGTTTTGCAGCGATGTTCCGCCTCGATGCTTCGATCGCGCGAATTTGTCGGGTGGCACCGAAGCCGTCCAGGACGGGCATGCTGATGTCCATAAATATGATATCGTATCCGTCCGCGCGGTTATGGAATTTGTTGACGGCTTCCAGACCATTCTCTGCCTCGTCCATGATCTCATACTTGCGCTTGCTCATGTATGTCCGGAGAAGGGTCAGGTTGATCCTATTGTCATCCACCAAAAGCAAACGAGGTTTTGGCAGACTTGTTGGGGTAGGAGCTACAAAAGTATTAGAAGTGTGAGAAGAGGTCCCCATATCCGCCGATACCTGTGCAGTCGAAATGACGCCCGGTATACGTGGACGCACGATCTCCTTATCACCCGGCATGCTCTCTGCTGCCGAGACGGGTGGTTTCTCAACTGGAAACGGGAACTCCTTAACCTTCTCCGTCGGCGGGTTCAGAGACGGGGACTCGATTGCCTTCCGCGCATTGTCGCTACCGGCCGCCATACGACTGTTGTCCAGCACCTCCGCTCTGTGCGGAGAGGTAGATAGCTCTTCGAAGACTCCGCTGAGATCGGTGCTTTCTGCTACAGTTTGAGAATCTACGAGGCCTGGCGTAGTCAGGGGTGGTGCGCCTTCGATGCATTGCAGTAGTGCTCGTGCAAGCTTGAGGGGCCCAACTGGTTTTGCGACCGAGCCGACATTCCCTCTCGCTGTGGTAGGGGATATTGTACGGTCGAAGCGGGAGGAGTGCGAGCAAAGGACGAGAATAGTGGGAGTTTCGCCATTGGTGGTACCCTGCCGGATAAGCTTGCAGACAGCTGTAGGAGGGGTTTCGTTCGCTATGATAATACTTGATCTTTGACCAAGCGGCACGAGTTGTAAGCCATACCATTTGGTAAGGAAGGTTTTGATGGAGTCTCTGAGCAGATCTCCCATCTGACGGGTGATTGGATCTAGGGTGTCGATATCAAAGCCGTAGAGTGATACCGTCTTGCCAGCTACTCGAGCTCGTAAGGTCGCGATTGATTCATCAGCTTCGCGGGTTAATGAAGTGGCAGACCTTGCACTGCCTGCTGAGTCTGGAATATTTGGCATCTCTCGCAACAAGGGTAGGGATACTTTGACCTCTGATAAGATTATTAGCATGTAGATCGAACTCAGTAATGGACTAGAGAAGTAGAGACTTACGAGTACCACGTCCCACTTCGCTATCTATGGTGATCTCTCCTTCTAGTAGATTGACGATACTTCTGACAATCGAAAGGCCAAGGCCAGTTCCACTAGACAAAGAGTTCTCTTGCGCAAATGGTGTGAATAGCTTCGATCGAAGGAAGTCGTTAGAGATTCCCTTTCCAGTATCCGTCACCATCAAAGTTACCATAGACCGTGGGGCTTGATCGGGGCTTCCAGGTGTGTTGCGGTTTTGTATCTCACTGGCTTGCAATGTAACATGCACATAACCGTGTGAGGTGTATTTCAGCGCGTTACCTAACAAATTCATGATGACTCGTCGAACTGCTCCAGGCTGCGTAGTGAAGTTATAGTCTTGGATATCAACATCAAGAATTACAGCAACCTCTGGATGCTTCGCATGGGCTAGGCTGACTGTGGTATCGGGGATAAATCGTCTCGGATCAGACATCTTTCCTCGAGCACCGGGGACCATGTCGAAGCTCTGGGCGGTCATATTTTGGAAAACATGACCGGCAAAAACGCTCTCAACAACCTCTTCACAGACTACTGAAATGTCAACCTCGGCGAAGAGATTCATCATAGGGACGTCGGGCTGTCGCACGGCCAATGCGCTTTCAGTCGGTGGTCCCAGTCGATTTCCACCACGTTTATTTTTCCGCCAAGTCTTTTCAAAATGGTTAATCTTCGAGAAATCAAGGATATGATTCTGATAGAACGTCAGTGGAACGTGCTTCCAGGAAGATGAAAAAAATAGAAAGGCAGGGTCAATGGGTCTGTCTTCAGTGGTTTAAGTAAAACCTTCGCAACCCCACTAGGTTCCAATGATCGGATCCTGAATCATCAAAGAGCTCCCAACCATTTCAAATTTCTAATGACTATCGCACCTCGGTGGTTGAGAATGTCGACGGGAGATCATAAGAAAAGCCTTTGACTTACAATAGTGTCGAGCAGCGTCCGACCACAGCTATCAATGGTCTCAACCAATCCTCTCACAAATGCATTCAAAGATTCTTCGCCCAGAAACTCTGCACTTGCGAGGATACCATGCAACGGCGATCTAAGCTCATGTGAAATGCTTCCAATGAAGTCACCCTTCTTCTGGTCCGCGATCTCCGTATCAATCCTCGAATACTCGGCCATTACTGAATTCCCAAATGCGGTCAGGAAGGCCAGTTCACTCTGCTTTGATAGGATGCGGGTAGGCTCAGTTGACCAGACAAAACATCCACTAAGCCAGCGAGAGCGGCCGGAGTCCCAAAGGGGGACGAAAAGTAGTTGACGAACTCCAGGGAAATGGCTTGCTAGAAATTTTGCATCAGCTTTCGATTTGTCCTTTTTTACTCTGCGACGATCCATATCTTTGCGGTGCTTGGTTGGATCCTTGCCGGAGTCGGACAACTTCTCTTCCGATGAAGATGATACAGAACCATCAGTGTCAAAAGTCCATAGTTTTCCTCGCGGATAGCGTCGAAGCAAAGTATGGAGCGATTTCTCATCGAAGGGGATGAAGGCCCGAGGTTCTGGTCCTGGGCATGGGTATTCATCGCCGTTTATAGAGGAAGCGGCTGCAGTAGAGAAGCCCAGGATTTCCACCGGCTTCTTTGCCTCAACAGATCTTGAGAATAGCCCCTCCCCAAGACCAGTGGAAGTAGACTTCGGTCTGCCTGAGCTCTTCTTGTCGTGATCAGAATGGTTCTCACCCGAAGATGGTAAATCATCCCCACAGTCTTCACGAGTCGGTTTGGCTTGTGAATCGAATCCTCTCTGCGCATCGTAGAACACACACCCGCCTTCTACTTCAAACGCCTCCCTAATGAGATTAGCTGCACGTGAAAACAATATTTCCATTGTAGAAGTTTCGGATTTGTCGCCTGGAGTGGAGTCATCGAGAAGGTCAGCGGCCAGAGAAGAAGCGTTCGCGTTAGTCCCAGTAAAGGAATTTGGTTGCAATCCACAATCAGGTGCCAGGTGTGTACTGTGGACTAGAGAGCCATTATGGGAATCAAGGATTTCCTGCTCGGCCTTGACCATAGCGTTGGAATACTCAATCTCTTTATGTTCAATGCTACACGCAGATCCAAAACCAGAATGGATGGAGCCAGGCGTTGATCCTGCCTTGGATTTGGCTCTGCCAACCGCAGAATCAGTCTCGAATTGTCCAGCAATCTTAGTGCCCTCTTCATTCTCAGTATCTGATTCTGCTTCGACAAGTTCCGCACGTCCTTCAACAAAGGATGCTAGGCCGCGGCTCATTTTCATGCCCCGGCGGTGTTCTTCAACCTCTCTGACCATCTCCAAGTGTCTCATGACCGTGTCAGCCATGATCCCCATGAAATGGATATCCTCCTTGCTGAGTCCATCTCGAGGCTCGGGGTCAACAATAAACAGGCTTCCAATGGGTATTCCCCGCTTGGTTACCAGAGGAACACCAGCGTAGAACTTCAGAAATGGTGGTCCTGTCACAAATGGAAGTTTATTAAAGGATTCGTGTTTGGTCAAATCATTCACGATGAATGATGGGTAGTCTTCCGACTTCGTGGGTGTAGCTCGAATGGTTCTGGCTGCGATTAGCACGGCAGTCGTGCACATCCACAGACCGGATAGTCTTACCTTTCACACAGCCTGCCAGTCACTGAGACAGAGCTACATCCCATCCAGAGATCGTCGCCAGGGGCATGATGGGTACTGTCTAACAAATCGATCGTCTTTGTACTCTCTGCGATAAAGTATTGTGTGGCATGGTCAACAACGCTATCCTGTGTCAGCACCCAGACTTACATTTATCTATCTGTCTTTCCAAACCTTAGCATCGCTCTTTGTGCTCCTGTCCGCCACGTCACCAATTGACAAAATGCTGTGAGGGCTGTATCCGGAGAGGAGATCTTGCTGGAGGTGACGTTCGATGTGACATGTAATTCCGGGGACTCGCCATCCACCAATTCCCCGGTCAAGTAGGAAGGTGGCGGCAAATAGGCGCTGCCATTGATAGGAGTATTTGGCTGATAGTATCTGGAGACAAAGAAACAGTTAGCTACCGGCGCAATGTTCGGAATGGACCGCGACTGACTTGTATAATTCTCTGGCTCTGGCACTGTCAGAGATGCCATCGACATGGGACAAGGCAATGGGCGCCATCGGCCCTCCGTTCTCAGACTATTCCAGCCAGACTTGGGGATCTGGTCCGGTCCAGAGATATGGAGGCTGGCAGATTTCAGTCGTGAAAGAAGATGCGATCTGTGCTAGGATCGTGTCAGCCTCAGGGGTGTTTCGCTGCTGTGTACAGGCCTTTGCAGTGCAGCACTTACATTATGTGGTTTGCCTCTGCCACCGAGATCTCCGTGCAACTGAAAGGCAGAACATGTAGATGGGTCGGGTAACAGGACTCATACGGTTATGGACAATGAGGGTCGTGATATCTGGTGTTTAGTTGTTGGAAGTGAGAAGCTATCCTTGCTTGTTTTTCAGGGCCATCTGCGTCATTGAGAGGTTCCGATGTCCCCCGTCCCGCTGTCACTCTGCCCGCCATTCCGCCGTCCGCTGTCCGCTGTCCGCTGTCCACCTTCCGCCGCCTGCTACTATTCCGCTGTTCCGCCTATCCCGCCGCCCAAATAAGAGCGAAAATATGAGGTACCTATCGAAGAGGATGGCCTAGCCTTACGAAATTATCAGAGACATGTCATTCTCGTTCTGACATGTCATCTGCCTTGTATTCTGGCAGAAAGAGTCTCTGCCTAGATTCAAACATACCTATACCTAAGGTGGGAATCAAAACTGGTTTCTGCCTTGGGTTTTGAATATCAGGCTTTTCTGTCCAGCATAAATACTGCTGCTCCCTTCTACATCTACCTTGTGTAGGTTCAAAAGAGGTTGTCATGAAGACCCAAACGCTGTGGTCTTTTGTCTACACAGTAAGTAGTAAAATGCATAGGTCTGCTGGGCATATCTTTAATGTAGTACACATATAAAAAGGATATCTGATTTGAAGACCCAGCTGTTCTGATACGGGAGTACCTATTTAAAGATTGCATATTGAAAATGTAATCGCGGTATGATTTAAAAACAAAGATCTAATAAGACCTGGAGCTCGTGTATCAAAACAAGTAGGATAACTAACCTTGCTTTATTACAGTCTTGTGCCGTAGTCCCGGTCGGCGATAGTTGCAGAGCAGAGAAGACTTTTCCGGGAGCCAGAGGTTCAGCTGGATGTCGATGTCGAATGGCCAATATAAATTGACGTGTTGGTGTTGCAGGCTGGTTGCCGTTTTGTGGCCTTATTATTTAGGTCGTTGGCTATAGTTACATCTTTTCCATACCACGGATCTTTTCTTTGTGATTTTTCTGGCGCTTTTTTGTATTTTAATACCGTATTTTACGCTCCTTAAGGTATCTATATTTACCTAGAAGCGCGTACCCACATCGGCACGGAGTACGTTGATAACCCTACCGAGTCTGCTTCCCCTCCACAACACGCCCCTCGGTGTGTGCAATCCACGGTTTACAGTCTCAGCAGAGAGTATGCCTCCTGCCGCAGGGCAGGCATCGCGTCCTCCAAGTCCATTAAAGCCTCCGCGGAAGAGGAGGAGGATTGTGATCTCATGTACCGAATGCCACAGGCGCAAGCAGAAGGTAAAGCATCCCCCTCCACTCTCCCATGCCGCCGCTGATGGCCCAGTGTGATCGTGCTTTTCCCTGCTCAAATTGCATTGCGCGAAAGAAGCAATCGGCCTGCCATTACGAGAATGAATCTGCCCGGAAACAACAATTGCTGGAGGAGGGCGCAAGCACTTCGACAGACGATGGCGGGGCTTTCAGCACCATGAAGCTCGAAGGCGACTCTGCAGCACAAGTCACTTCGTTTGGATATGCGAGCAACAATTCTAATAGCAATACGACCCTTGGGCTCTTTAGGAGGATAGAAGACCACGATGCGGATACCCCCTCCGTGATATCGAAACCTCCCCCGAGCTCAGCTAACAACGGCGGGCTACGAGAGAAATACAAGAGTCTCATACGACAGCTGCCGTCGAAACCATATATCGAGAAACTTGTCGACACCTTTTTCCGCGAGGTTAACTATCACAACTACTCCATAGACGAAGCCATTTTTCGCGATCATCTCAGAGACTGGCACAACCTATCTTTCTCGACTCTTAACAAAGGGCCTCTAGGGCTGTCCGGGGATCTTCAATTCTTCCCAGGGCTGTTGTTTCAGATTCTTGCCCTTGCACTACAATTTCAACATGGGGACTACGACGCGATTCTCGACTCTCTCAAATATGCTGCTGGGATGTCATTCGATGATCTTGCCAGTGATTACAGCGAATCTGGTGTCCAAATATTATGCCTTCTCGGTAAGAGGCATACGACTCTAGTGACAGTTCAAGCTGGGTTCTTGCGAACGAGTTACCTGAAGAATTGTGGGATGATCACCGAGAGCTGGCACTCTCTCTCACAGACTATCCGAGATGCGCAGGAGATAGGTCTACATAAGATTTCAGCAGACCGTCCAGCTAGAAATGCACAACTCTCAGCAGAGGATGTGCTGGAAAATATGTGGATCGACCAGCTTCGGCGTAGGGTGTGGATGATACTTTCTTATTGGGATATTCACATGGCAATAATCCTTGGACGGCCTACAACCATAGACAGTCGAGATGGGAAGCCAGTCCTCCCTATCGATGCACCCATCCCCAAGAACCGAAGAACAGTGGCCCCATCTTTGCGAACTGAGGCCGATCCTCCCACGCCATTAACAGCACTATTATGGACAGTGGAGCTTGCAGCCCCGCTCTGGGACATCTACAGCCTCGAGAAGGAAGATCCTCAACACCTTCTTTGGCCGAAAGTTGAGAGAATGCACAAACTTATCAACCAGATTACCTTACATTGCCCCCCTTTCTTCCGAGCACAGAACCCCGACACCAGGTTCGACTCTCATCCCGACTGCTACTGGTTACCTCGTGCTCGGCCTTCCCTCCAGAATGGAGCAGCATTCACAATAATGGCTCTACACCGCCCCTACATCTTCACACACGCTGCCAGCAGGACCGCTGCATTGGTTGCTTGTCTTGACATACTGCGAGCACAGCGCACGTACTTCAATCAGCTACACGTTAAAGACTACAAGTTATTCTCCCTCGTGATAAATACATTCGATGCCATCGTAGTATTAGCTGCCGTCTACATTTTACATCCATGCGAGAACAGGGAGCATCTTGACTCCGCTTTACAACACTTTGAATGGGGTATGGAGAGATTTCAGATGATGAGCGGGAGGAATTCCATGGCCAAATCAGCTCTTGGTGTATTGAAGGCTATCCACGTTCGATTAAAGAAGGCTCTAGGCCCAGGCAAGATCCCTCCTACCACCACACAGGTTCCAACCCCAGAGTCATACGCACCATCTTCAACCTCCAGCGAAAATCGCACTACCTCGCAGTCGTCGGTCCAAAACGTACCCTCCGGCCCTTCAACCAACAACCGGACAATTGCAGACACTCCACAATACACACAGCCCACAATATCCAACCTCACAGCCCCAACCCCGCCATCTGCCTCGGCGTGGGAGCGTTTCTCCGGAAACATGCTACCACAGCAAAACTTTGACTTCTCTTCCATGGCCCCATTGCATCCTATGCACGATCTTCTGTACAACGATCTTTCGACGATTGGAGATACGCAGATGCTGGATCCGCAGCTTGGTAGCATGGCGACGACGGACATGGGCATTGTTGATACAAGTGAGGCTTGGCAATTTGAGGGCGATTTTGGAAATGATAGCTTTTGGGGGTTCATGAATAGTTACAATCCTTGATCTGGAGCATTTAAATTCGTAACTTTGCCGGGGCATGAGGATCTGAGTATGGTTGTACCGAATATGGGAGATTCGGGGCGAGCCACAGGGCGCGGAAGAACAGTCAACGCCGAGCCTCCGATTCTTGTTATCAGCTCTGAGGCTTTGGGATACCATGCAATGCTCCGTTGCAAACTATCGAGCCCCGCTCTCCAACGGCGTTGCTTCTCTACCGTTACTTCGGCCTACCCTCAAAATCCTCATTCCGCCTCGGCACTTTAGGGTGTGCCAACGATCAATCTTCATTTCGAATCCAAATTCAGTAGCCCTGGAAGCATCTATCCTTTTCTGGCCTTTGATCTGGCCTTTGCTTGGATAGAACCTGTCATATCCTGCCGCGTCGCCTGATCTGCTGGATTCGGCTCAGCTCTCCTTGCTCAGCAGGGAGAGGACTTCAATGGGCTAGACCTTGTCACATAGTTCTAGTTGCATGATTAGAGCCTCCCCATTCTTGGAACCGGGATTTTTGGAGTTGGAGTTGGTATTGGGTACCAATGGCTAGGCTACCCGGGCGTTCAGCACGGTTTAAGGTAAATAGGCTCTCAAGAAGGAAGAGTCAAGAGACTCTATTTGTGAGTCGCCCTGCATACCTATATGCCTGGTTGTCCGTGCTAAGTAAATGTAGGGTTAGATAAGTCCATATATTAAGGATCTGCAAGATCTCATCCATCAATTCTCAGAGGAGCTTTATCACGTGATAAATTTCCAACAAAGAAACTTGGAATTACTTCCTACCTAATGCTTCCATCCTCCGCCCGTCTTCCCGGTCCAGCCGCCTTCTCATTCCATGTGACGGATATGTATCGATAGTGGATAAGAGCAAAGCTGGCGTATTCATCAATTTCTCTTCCCTCTGGGGTATCATTGGTCATACTCCACCCCTTGCTTCATGTTTCCTATCACATTCGTCTATATTTCCTAGTCATTGGTGGTTCTTTTTCCTCTTCTATGATGGCATGGATCTCCTTCAGTTTATAGGATGAAGTCTACCAGACCCTCGGGATTCCTGAATCCCGTGTTCCACATCAGTAAGTCGTCCTCGTTCAAGATCAGGTAAGCTACCTATCCACTGTCTTGGAACCACACTTTCTCTAGATATAAAGAGCAGTGCTTTTAGTCCGACGACTATCCTCTTTTCTTGTCTTCTGAGCGTGCATGTCTGCTTTACGAAGTACTCCTGAATAGCGTTGCCTACCTACTGCAAATTATTTTAGACCTCTTTTCTCATATTGATACTGAACTGCAAATTTTTCGACCCCCACGGTGTCACAATGTTACATGACAGTGTATTACAGTTCGAACACTTACCACTACTCCCACAAGCCACGCCGCCGCTATCCAACCTTATCAGATCGATCAATCTCACTTGGTTGAGTGCCTTATACGCGGCGGTCACTACTGTAAGTCCTACTACACTTTCAAGCTCATACATTCGAAATATCCCTCTTCTGTCGGCTCCTTCACTTCCTCACTTCCCTCTTCGGTCTCGAATGTCATAATTTCATTGAGTCCGGCTTATTAATATTCAAAGCTAATATCTATCAAATCTACAGGTGATCCTCATCCCAGCTTCTATTGTCATATACCGTCTATACTTCCATCCCCTCGCTAAATATCCTGGGCCGAGGCTATGGGCAGCCTCACGTCTCCCATTCGCCTATACCATGACCACTGGTCTCCTACCATATAAGATTCACGAGTTCCATGAGAAGTACGGCCCTATTGTCCGCTTGGCTCCGAACGAGATCTCCTTCACGAATGAAGAAGCATGGGCGGATATTTACGAAAAGCCCCGGGGCTTGCCTCAACTGCAAAAGGATCAGACGCAGCTTTACCTTGCCCCGGGTTTAGCCAAAAGCATTCTCACCGAGCCCAGTGATGTTGCGCATGGTCGAATGAGGTTTGCATTCCAGTCATTATTCAGTGTGTCATCTGTGGACCTATTGCTGACTCTTCAGGCGCAATTTCGCCCACGCTGTTGCGGAGAAGACCCTTCGAGAGTCGGAACCTATATTGCTTAAATACTTTGACAAGCTGATTGGAAGACTCCGGGAAAACGTTGACAAGCCTATCAATATAATCAGTTGGTACGAATATACGCTTTTCGATACAATTGGAGACTTGTTGTTTGGCCAGCCCTTCGACTGCTTAGAAAGGTCATCGTCACACGTGAGTCCATTGTCTACATCTGAGGGAAAAGGCTGACATTCACAGTTCTGGGTGGCTCTTCTCTACACTTGGGTCAAAGGTGCTACTTTCCTGGGCATGGCTGAACGTTTCCCTCCACTGATTAACGTCGTCATGCGGCTACTGCCCAAGCATCTCAGAGAGTCTGAGATCACGCATCGAAAGCTAACTATAGACATGCTTGACCGACGTATGAAGGCTACTGATCCTCGTCCAGACTTGTAAGCCGCTCTTCCATTCTGCCTCTTCAGCAATCTAATAGCCCACATAGCCTAAGTCGGGTTCTTGAATTCGCGGACACGCCAACGGGCATGACCTACTCCGAGATCATGGAGTCTAGCAAAGTGATTATGGTTGGCGGGGCAGAGACCTCGGCCTCGGCTCTCTCAGCCATAACGTACTATCTCCTGAGCACGCCCTCCGCGATGGCCAAGCTCACCGCCGAGATCCGCAGCGCCTTCAAGTCCGAATCCGAGATCAACATGGCCAGCGTCCAAAGCCTCAAATACACCCACGCCGTCATCCACGAAGGCCTACGCCTCTTCCCCCCTCTCCCCGGCAGCATGCGTCGCATCGTGCCCGCCGAGGGTCGTCTTATCGCCGGCCACTACATGCCGGGCGGCACCATCGTCGTCGTCGACACGTACGCCGCGGGGCGTTCATCGCGCAACTTCACGCGCGCGACCGAGTTCTGCCCGGAGCGCCAGCTGGGCAGCGATCCCGAGTTCCAGCACGACAAGCTGAAAGCGATCCGGCCGTTCTCGGTCGGGCCACGCGATTGTCTCGGCAAGAGTCTGGCGCTCGCCGAGATGAAGATCATTCTGGCTCGCGTCGTCTTTAACTTCGACTTGCAGCTTCTTGATCAGGAGAAGGATTGGTTGGCTGGCATCCCCGTGTATACGTTCTGGGAGAAGCCGCCGCTGATGGTGAAGCTTAGTCATGCTGTTCGATGAGTTTGTGTGCGTGGGCATGTCTGTTTATGCTGGAGTCTGTCGTTACCTGTACCGTGCGTAAGCCGGTGATCTTTGATGTTGTGATTCTGGTGGGTTTGCCGCTGATGATGCGTTGGTTTCTTGCTTGGTTTCTCGCTTGGTTTTCGGGTTCACATGGAGCGCTTCTTGTCATTCGCTTTGATGAGTATGTGTAATACTCCTAGATCTGTCTGATGATTTATGATTAATGAAATGATGAGAGTTTGCCCCTTTTACGAATATACCCTCCTAAGTATATGATATTAGCGAGACAGGCTATTTTCAAGGAATCTCCAATTGAAATAATCAACTATCACTAAACTAAAAATGACCAATTTCAGGGTATTCAGCTACGCCATACTCCCCCCTCAAATTTCTAACTGTAATCCAGATATCAAAGATCCTTGTTCACGGTAGCGGTGGCGGTGGCGGGTACAACAAGCTCCAACTTCCCACTCCACCTCCTTTCACTCTGCTTCCTCATCCGTCTCAACTCCTCCGGTACATCTTTCAACGCATCCAAGTCCCCAGTCGCCGTCCCCAACATCGTGTCGGACTCGAAGAAAGAGAAATCGTCCAGCGCGTTCGCAAGAAAGGCGTCGGCGTCTGGGTCGCCGGACACCGAATAGCCACCCCCGCCCGGTAATCGCACCTCCACATCTGCTGGCACAAATTCCAGTCTCAAAGTTCGTAGACCGGGTAGAACTTGTGGCGTACGGCGATGGCTCGTCCTTGGGCGGGCACGGGCGAGATCGACCTCCTGGGCATAGCAATCATCCAGCAGCTTGACGAGTTGCTGGATGGTAAAGCCGTAGCTCTTGGTCGGTATGCCAGTTAGCGTGAGCGTCTCTATGCCGCAGTTGAAGGAGGGATACAGTGCTGCCGCGCTGGCTTTCTGGCTCGCTAGCCTGCCGTATACTTCGGCTTCTTCGAGGTGCCGAAGGGAAAATGTGGCCGGCGGGGAGCCGGCCGCGGGGGAGGAAATGGTGGGCACGAATGTTACAATCGAGTGGTGGACGCGTAACGATGCGATTTGTGAGTTCCTGCGGCGGTGGAAAGACGACCCGAACCCAGCTGCCTGTGCCCAGCTGTGGACGTGCCGGATTTTGATGCTGGCATATGGCTCCTCGCGGACGCTGCCAATGTCGAAGACTTGAAGGCGGTTGGTATTGTACAGAAGATATTCCGGCCCTTCGGATGTGAACCTGTTATTGGAGAGGTAGAGGTGGGTGAGGCCTGTGGGTTGCAATACAAGGTCGCTCTCATCCATGGCTGATGGTACGTTCCGGTGTATATGGTTCAGAAAGGCGTCTTTGGTGTCGGGGCGAAGAGGGACAATTCCATCAAACGGACGTAGGGAATGGTCGACAGGCTCGCGTTCATAGGTAGGTGGAAGGTGGTAGAGTCCATCGTCGTCGAGCTGCTCGGGGATTGATGGAAGAAAGCAATGATGAAGTATGGGGTTAATGACTTCATCCGTGAGGAGATTATCCCTAAGGTCCAAGCTCCATAATTTGAAAGCAGTTTCGAATATACATTTTGGAAGAGATTGACTTGTGAGGCGTAATCCCCGAAGCTTGAGGACGCGGATATTGGGTAGCCTGAGTCCGGCAAATAATTGAAGCCATCTCTCACTAGTCGCCGTGTATGATATATCGAGGAACGTCAAGGTCTCACAGAGAATAGATGGAAGACATAAAACCCTCATTCCGTCTACTTTGGAGCATCCATGCAGGGAGAACAGATTCAGCAACAAGGAGCAACTTTGGCGCTCCATTCCTTTAGCGAACGGGTCACAATCTTCCAGTTGCGAGGGGGCCTCGGCATTGGATAGTCCCAGACTGCGAACAGGTCTGAAAGAGAAGGGTGCTGAAGAGGATGTAGCACTCGAGGATGGCTGCGCGAGGGGAGAATCCAGCGTATTAGGCGTATCGGTTGCTATACCATCCGCAATCGACCCGTCCAGTTCCCAATTGTCAATGCCATCCATAATGAGGAATCGAACGTATCGTAGCTCGCGGCAACAGTCCAGTATAAAGAAGGCATTCAGAACCTCTTCATGTAGAGCCAAGTCCTGGCGATTCTTAGCTGACTTGATAGAAACTAAAGGCCGGAAATCTAGGGTGTGAATCAAGGATCGACGCTTCTGACGCGCCGTATCGACAAATTTGAAGAAGCGTAGAGTACAGCCTGGCAAGCTCTGGTTAGCAAGGCTCTCTTCTGGAGGGCGTGATCTCACCGTATGGATTCTCCTTCTTGGCCAAGACCTTGAGTGGTTCTCCCCATAGGAGGCCGCAGCATGCCTTGTCCCATTGCTTGCAAACACGGCTTGCCAATGCCAAGTCGTTGGCCTCAAGATATGGAGCAACAAGGTCAATGAGATGAGGTTTTGTAACAGCTTCTTGGTAGGTAGGGAGAGACATGTTGGCTGGCAGATATTGATATTTTCGTGTGCAGTCGAGGGCAGCTGACCGATAACCGAGAAAGGGTATTGAAAGAGAATCTTTGAAGCGCAATCTTGTCAAGTCGTCAACCACAACACCGCGAGAGCCTGACAGAGTATCGTGATAATTTCCAATACAGAGGAGCGTTGAAGATGGAGTGGAGTCAACAGCCTTGCGTCCCAGTCCCGTTCGTTGTCTTCAATTTCGAACGTCGAGTTGACTTCAATCTTGTCTCAGCTTCTTCCACATCCACCTTCATGCCCCATAGCTTCGATGATGCCTATTCCAGGTTCAGAACTGTGTGCAAAATGGGGCTCCAGGTCGAAATAGTCCCATCAAGGTATGGAGCCTACAGTGGATAGACGGTTGGGAGACATCAGGGTGCAGAGGTAATCTAGCCAGAATTTGCCCACACATTATCGGGCAATGGCTAATATATTTGAAAAGGGTCATCTAGGAAAAGAGGTGTCACTCACTTGATCAAATGAATCAGATCCAGTTCAGTATACTGACTAGCCGTCGTCTGCCACCTCGAGCTCTTGCTCCCTGTTTAACCCCGTCCACAACGATGTTCGGTTTGCAGCTTGATGGGACCTGCTCTATGTTTAGTGCTCTGCTCAAAATATAGCCAGAGAAAGAAATAGCCGAGTCACTTATAACGGATGCCACACTTGAGGGATAGTTAGGAAAAGAGTCAGAAGTGGAACAGATCATCAAGGTCACCGAAAACGTGGATACTACCAAGTTATCTCCGGATTATTTTATAGGCCCTGATAACGTCCCACTACTCTTTACTCTGGAAGAAAGACAAACGCTTACTTGACCAAACAGTCACGATCTTCAGAATAAACTCCTAATCTTAGATACCGTTATCAAAAGATTTCTTTCAAGTTCGCTCTGATCTTCCTCGAGGTTTCATATATCACTACCTATTTCGACTTTGAATTCGATGATGGACGGTCCATCAAGTTGTCGAGCTCCACGTTCCCTTATTCAGAAATAAAATGCCGCATCACCCAGCGGATGCCATGCTCGATGTACCAAGGGGAGACTTAGCCACAAACTTTGAGGCGGAATATCTGCTGATCCCCGTGATCTTTCTCGGGACAACCAATAGAGCTGATGAATCCATGACCTAAGCATCAAGCATCCAATACTACCACAGAACCGTCAGACTAACAGAAACTGATAGCTTTTGGAACTCAAAGTGCACCTAGACGACTTCTTCCGTGAGAGGCAAGAGATAGTACACGCACCGAATGTCAGAAGCAGGCCGAGCAATGCAGCCCGGAACCTACTCACTCATCAACGACTTTCAATACAGGTTCAAACGATCCTCGATCGGACTACTCGACAGTAACTCCTTTGCGGCCACTTGTGGTCTTTGTGGAATTTTGAAGATTCCGAGTCGTCCAAGCTCCAACAACACGGCTTAAGACGGCTTAACACGTCGCTATCTCGCTGATATGGGGTTTCAAGTCTCAGAATCACACCAAGGAGAATGAATACAAGAGCACGACTGTGGCATCGCTATGGCTGGTGTGAATCTATGATATGCTTCACGCAGATGAGAAACGAAAGAGGTGAAGAAGCTCATACTCCGTATAAGATGGTGGGGCTAGGCCCCCAATCATGCGATCGGAATCCTTCCGCTACTGGCTATAACTGGGGAAGACAGGATCCGCCAATTAGAGTCCCTCAACCTGGTCGAAGTATCCAGCGCTGCCTTTGCGTCTCAAACACTGATCTAAGGGCGGCGATTATCAGGGCCTTACGGCAAACCTTGCCACGACATCCAACTTTCAGATTCATCACGAACGAACAGAATGAACAATCGGACGTTCAAATTCTGAAGATATGAAATGATTAGTGTCATTGTGTTAAGACATATATTCTACTTTTGAAGCTGTTGATTTTGTACATTTCGTGTTTCACATTCTTACGGCCTCGACCCAGGGAATCCCGACACCTCTTGGTTCTAGAAGGTTGTCAAACGGCCCGCACCACGGTTTTGGTACCATTTAAGTCTAACTGGGATTAGTGTAATGACCTACCTGTGTGATGAATCGGCTTTGTTATCAAGATTTCCCTTCTGTGTCGAGATTAGGTAAATTATCTATGTCGAATTCTTCGTCTCAATCGGGGCAGTCTCCGATGGTGGGAGCAATCGCTTAGCCAGTCAAAGTGGCCTGCCCGCCACCGTCGGCCCCAGTGAGCAATGCAACCATTTCACTGTCCCCAGTCGGCCTCGGGGTGTACAGGTGTGAGTTGAACTTACGAATCAGAATCTGGAACTCAGAAAATGGACGAAAACATCAAGAACCTCTGCCCTCTCGGTGGCTCCAACCAATGGGGCGTTGCTGGAGTATCTTGAGATGGCTTTGAAAGAGGACGCAAGATTGCCAATATGTCTGCTGCTTGCGTGAACAAATATTATTCTTGGAAAATGGTAGAGACGCGAGAGGATTGGCGATCTCGTCGATCATATCGATTCACAGCTCGAACTCTGTTGATGAATAAGATAAGCTTCATATCTCTGTTGAGATCTATAATAAGTCATAACTCACCCAAACTATGACAATCAGATGAGGCATTTGAGCCTTTACTCCATTTTGATCATCGAAAAGCACTGCTTGGAGCCAAAATACCCGCTTACACGCCCTGAAGACCGCGCAATTGTTATGATTTCGAACCTGCTTGCCACCCTTCGACAGCGTGGCAGTCAGGTTGTATAATGTCTTATGTCTTTGAAGATGTTTTCATTCTTTGATAATGAGAAGGAAATGGAACTTTGCGTTGAAGAAAGTCGGTTCAGTACAGTTGGCGTTGGAGGTTGTTTCAATACACTCTTGACAATGTTCACAGGGTTTACCAGACGAAACGTTACAGTGCTGTCTAGTGGCCAGTGCTTGAGTATCGGCCTTGCCGATTGCTCAGGTCCTCGGAGACATTTCCACCCATATAGAGCGCAAGGAAGGCCAGAAGAAGAATATGCATGAACGTGGTTGATGATTGCTTGCAGTATTGAGGCAAGGACCCAGACGTGGTATTGAAAGTTGAAGATGCCGCTAGGATCTCTCTCAAACTCCTCAGCCCCCAAGCTAGGCAAGGCAACCATATACTAACAAGATCTCAAACGCAAGCGCGCGCAAAAATAGTACGGAGCATGGATCCGGGCGACACAAGAGCTTTGTTTCTCTATTGAACTTACTTTTGTTTGCGGCTTGCCTCTGCGGTGCCTTCAAGCAAGGGGCTACTTGTTCGGGAGTTCGAGATAAGAAAGGCATTGTGGCCCTTGCAGAAGCGACACCCTCGTTCCGAATCCAACCTAGCCTTAACGGCTGTGCAGTACCGTATATTCTTCTTTAACCACTCTCGACACTCCCGAGTCCCGTCATGGGATGCTAGTTAACTCAAGATCTCAAGCCATGTTTTGATTGCGGCCCTTGCGGTTTTCAGGGGCCGCACGGATCTGCGAGGATCTTTTGTATAGCGTGATGGTGTACAAGCGTTCCATAGCCGTTCCACAGCCGTTCCACAGCATATCTGTCTCTAGGCACCAGCTGTAGAAAGACGGGTGAAACAGATATCATCGCATAATGGCTTGCATGAGTTGAGGCTTATTCATATCTTGTGTGTGGATAATAATAGTTACTTTTTCAAAGCCAGAAGTTTGGCTTCTTGCTCAAAGGAGTCCGAGGACTGCTACTAAGTAAGTTTACTGACCAATCATTGCAATCAAAGCCCATCACCTTAGAATTACACCACTAATGGTACAAAATCCAGATCTTCACAATCCAAAGGCCTGATATTTTGCAACCACCATACAAATATCAAAATTTATGTAAACTAGCATGAGCATAATCACTCCAAGTATTCGCTGCGCTTCAAAATGCTCACTGATAAGACCGACTGACAAAAGCTACTGTAGTAGTAGCAGCCTGCTATAAATCGATGGAAAAAAAAAGACTCCGTCAATACCCAATAATCATATAAGGCTTTGCAGCCACCTCTTTGCCGTTTCTAACAATCATTATACTTGATAATGGCGGCGACATAGAAAGGAGCATTGCCGAGGGCGGAAAAGGGGCACTCGCTTGGTTTGCTAGCGCCAAACACACCAGAAGGAAAGCCTTTCCGATCTTCGTCCATCATCAATCCATCTTCACATCCCATCTTTCCGCTTCGTGAGTTCGTTTGTCGTTGATCATAGCTTGTTCACAAATGTTGCCCAGATCCTACGGTACCTAGGGTTTGGCCGCTTGAGCGAGATATACCGGGGACATCGGGGGGTCCGGGTCAATAGTCTTAGCCACGTGACCGCTACCGAGGCGTGGTGGGAGTATCTGGCTGGGCCTTCGAACTACCGGTATTCAAGTCCCCTATCTTACGGGGCTTCCGAGTCATTTCCTCGTAAGCCTTCCGAGCCTGGGGGAAATACTTCGTCCTGGACGACTTCTTGCTGGGATTGGCGTGAAGCCGGGTATGTGACTTGAGATTGTCCGATCGTCCGAATGGCTTGTCGCAGAATTGGCACATGTACGTCTCGGAGTTGGTATGCGTCTTCTCATGCCGTTTCAAGTGCTCTTGTCGTTGAAATTTCCCGTTGCAGCCTGGCCATCTACATTTCTTGATTGCTCTGTTCTGCACACGTATATGGCCGGGTACAGGCACCATGTCACTGTTGCGTCTCGCCTTCTGCTTTCGCAATTCTTTCAACGTATGCCCATCTGTTTGAATACGCTGCAAGGCTGGTGAGCTTTGAAGTGGCTCAAACATCCGCTGGTGAAATTGGGGAGATTTCGATGGTGTTATTGAAAACGACTTAGAGTCGTCTGAAGACAGCGTCGAGAAGTTGGCGCTGCGAGCCGGTGAATTTATCAGGGAGTCCGTGGTATAGTCCGAATTCGGGCTATCCATATCAATTGGTCTGACCGCACCCATTTGAGAATGCATATCATACGTCTCAGCGAAAGTTGTCTGAGAGGGCACCACGAAGTCCATGGATCTTGGAGACCGAGAAGTCTGTTTCGGCGAGTATGTGTCAAGTTCTAGGTCTGGTGGCTCATTCATTGGGGCGTTCTGGACTTCGAAAGGTTCGTAAATTGGTGCAGCATATGTTGGGAAGTTGTCGTACCCCATCATGCTTTGGCCGATTAACACCTTCTCGCTATCGAGGGGGAAGAGCATGCTTCGCTCTAAAAATCCAGGATATAACTCTGGTGCCATTTCTGACACAGCCGAAAATTCATCCCTGAATCCATATACATCGGGGTATATGGATGGAGCAAATGGCCTATTATCGAGCCTTGCCAATGATTGTCGGCTGGTGGTGGGAGATGATGGTTCCCAAGAGGAGTCTGATGAGAATGTGGCATTCACCGAGTTGCTAATAGAATCGGTATAAGAGGAAGAGTCTGCGCTCGAATGAGTCGAATCATATGATCCGTTTCTATGGGCGAACATGTTGATTCCTGGAAGGTTGCGCGGAATGTTGATACTGTTGTCGGGGTCTATATGATGAATGGCCTGTGTGTCCGACAACACAGGTACGTACGTTCCAAGGTGTTTGAATGTATGGCTAGGGGTCGAGGTGAGTGGATAAACTTCAGTGAAGCTATCTAGGCAAGGAAAGGGGGAGTGTCTCCCTTTATTTTCACTTGAAGGGTGACTTTATGGTAACTATGACCTGAGGTCTGGTTTGGTAACCGAATGCAAAGGGATCCAGAGCTTACTTGACTTCTCCCCCACCATCTGCAGTCGATATAGTTCCCGAGTCGCGCACTGTTGCGTATTTGCTTTGATAAGCAAGGCACGCTGGTGGAATGCAGATCGAGGGAGGTGAAATGAGGCTGGGGTATCCGCCAGGCAGGTCAGTTATTTCCCCATGGGCTTGTCTAAAGGGCATCTACCTTGATTTAATTTAGAACCGAAGGGTATTTCTCAAGGGCAAGGTATCTCGTGGTGGTCTTCGAAGACGTCTAAGAAAAAGGAGTTTGATACGATTGGTCGATTTTGCAGACCTTGCAGCAAGTTTTGAGATAAAGCCTTCTGGCAGGGCGATTAAGCCCCCTCTTTAACCAAAGGGCCGGCTTGTTGCGTCTAGGAAGCCGCTAAACAGCACTACAAAGATGGCGAAGCACATCCTCGACCACGTTGGATCGGCGTCTGACCCAGACTGTGGGGTCGTTGGAATCTGAAAATAATATGCAGTACCGCTCTCGAAGGGCTGTGGACGTGGCAGGTCAGATGAAGGTAGGTGGCGTCGCTTTAGCCCCAAGGTCTTTCTACCTTACGTGCATGAACTCTGAGGAAATGTGGCTCAAGCAACGATGAAAATAATTTGCACAAGGATGTCTGCCCTACATTCAAACATCGCGCATTGGAGTGGCATCCCAGATATCCGAGGCAACATCACCATTGGCCTCTCCAAAGGTACGAAAACATTACGAGGAATGGTATGCTACTGTTTGGCATTCTCATCCAGAACGAGACCCCCCAAATCTTATCCGGGCCAGACGACCACCCTGCACACACCACAAGAGACAAAGATGGTTGACACCTATCCAAATGCGGGATCCCTTCAAAGCGCGACGTCGCAGGCTCCGGGTCTACTGGTGGATCGAGACGTCCCACGAACCACATGGCCCATTGGCGCGCCATAGCGTTGTATCCCCCTTAAGCGATTACGGCTTCTGGGAATTCATGCTTTGATTATGTCTCGGCCCCTAAGGCTGCATGAACTGCCGGCCTCGATGGCTCCTAGGGGCGCATCTATTCCGCCGTCACTTTTGTGGAGAGGACCCTCTTAGTCAAGACGAGGCTGATAAATATTGGATAACCATGATATCTCACAGTTCGTGTCAAGAACTGTGATATCACGCCTTCAGACACTCCAGAATCCTTCGGGTTTTGGCCATTGCCTCGCCATTTGTTCTCAGGCAACATGCCTTGGGCATACTCGAGACGTTCATTCGATTGCAGGTTCGTGTATCGAAGGTTGGGGGGTTACAGTGTGTGATATGTGGCATGGCGCTTCTGGCCAATGGGCCTCAGCTTCTATACCGCCACCAACGAAGCTTCTAAATATTCCGACTGGCTTTCCCTGCGACCACGAGGGGATCAATCGAGCCCCTACTTGCTCGCAAATTATCCTATTCATGATCCCTCGTGGTGGCCTTCATCAGGTTCGTGCTCTATTGGATATGTTTAGCTGCTCAGCCTTCTCCCTTTCCGTGATCTGGCTACACTCTACTGCTATATCAAACAAGCTCCAAGGATCCCAAAGTTCGTTGCCTGGTCCGAAAAGCCACTCTACGACTGATGTGATGAGAATTAAGGCAATGCATGGAATCAGGCTTCCTGAGCATAGGGAACAGCAAATGCCCACTCTACCGGGTCGGTGAGATGCAGCGGTCGAGGGCAGGTGCACCCTACGTTATCTAATAATTTCCCTGGGAGGCTGCGCTCTTTGTGTTGGTGGCACTTCCACCTACCTATAGCAAACCGGCGCCCTGGTGCTCCGCGCAGCGCAAGTCGGTTGGCCGGTACTTGCAAGGTATGATTGGCCTTCCCGCCGTCCCCCGTACGCTTGTATGCGGGGTCTCGTTCTTTTGCATCGTAGTCTCTTGACACTTGCAGGGCCCAGAGTAGTCCCGGAGCCAGCGTCTCGGTATCGATGCCGACTTGTGATTCGCGAAAACAGAGTCTCTTTGCGCTAGCACATACCGGCATGATCGGGCAAGGGTCAAAAGTGGACGAGTGCCCTCCGTGCGTGCTATCTATCAGTGCACGCAAAACCCGTTTTGGTACATGGGAGCTACTTTGGTCAGGTTTGAACTTTAAGCCTTCCTTAAATATCTGCCATCGACGAATTGGTGCCGGCTCTTGTAGCACAAGAATTGCGCTGCCAGTCCGTCCACGCTGCCTCACAGACGAGTCTGCTGTCCAGCATCAACGCCACCAGATCCAGGTAGAAGACGGACTGGAGAACAGCAGAAAAGCTGAACAGAAAAGGGTGTCTGTTCAGAATCATCAATTCAATCTCACACAGTCACACTTGATTGCAACCACATCTCTACATGGGCTTTCTATTCCGGTTTGTATTTCAGGTGGCCCCATGACCTCTCGACATCTCAACATGTGCAGACTGATGATTCAACCAGTGATATAGTCATTAAGAAAGACCACCTTACGTTATTCTATACAGCGGCTATTCCTAGTGTGGCTGATATATATACAAAGTATATCTACCCGCAATGATGATATCTAGTGTGACCGGTTCCTACCCGTACTCGTCGAAGAAGATTCTTGGGACTAAGAACATTCCTCACCTTGCAGAATATAGCCGTGATACATACTGCTCTAGCACAGATGAACGCTCATCATGAATGGGATGCACAGAGACATCGACATGAAGCAGAACAAAACAAAATAAGGAGCAGATGATAGCGGTCAATATTGCGAGCTGATCTGGCCCTTTCACGCAGCGACCCTGCAAGCTACCCAATCTTCCTTGTGAGTCGTGAGCTGGCGGATGGGCTAACACCACGTTCTTTTCAAGCCTAGCCGGGAGATTCACGCCGATCAATCGCATCGACTATAAGTCCATCAATCATCAACCTTGGACTTGAGTGACACTCTGGGTTCCGTCCAGATTGGAGAGTGACAGGGTCCCAATTAGGAGGGTGGTCCCAGACGGGGCTCAGACGAATCTCTCTTTTCAGTCCACCGTGAGATAATGGATCTCTAGAAGATCTCCAGCCGCAGGCACATACGTCGTTTGTGCTCTTGTACTCCCTGGTAGGAGTCGCACAGGAGTCGCACGAAGCATGGCGAGAGACAAAGGGACAATGGAACCCTTGTAGCTACAGACCGCTCGGCAACCAGGGCGCATGCAGGTGCAGCATCTGGCATGAATGATTGACACTTGGGGCTCTGTCTGCTTTGGTTCTGGTGCATGAGACGCATGCATACAACGGGAACTTGCTCGCCCATCCCCAGCCGTTGTGATTCGGCCCGCAGGCATACAAGTAGCAGCCTGATGCGCAGACACGGGCAATCAGCTTCGAGCCTTTGGACGATGCCGAGGATCTGCGGTTGGAAAATGTTGGCCGTTGTACTCCTCTCTCACTCTTCTCTCTCTCTGGCACTCTGCTGCTCCTCGTCGATCTATTAATGTCGCGCGGCTGCGTCCCAACTCGCAAAGGGGCCCTCTTTCGTCCTCTCGCAGGCGTCTGCGACTTCATGGCCTATCACGAACACCTCGACGCACCGCGCCCGTCGTTTGTCTTCCTCTTCCTATTATCACACATACACGGTGTGGCTGCCACAGTGCCAGCCGTCGAAACTCTGCTGCCTCAGGGACTGACTCTCGCATTCGTAAATTCCCAAGTCGAACTCAGCCAGAGCAGCGCAGCAGCCGGAAAGCTTCTGCCGTCATTCCCATACGGCCAAGTGGATTCCCGCGCCCGTCAGACCCCGGGTCGTCGCACTACACTCGGCATCGCAAACCCCTCCACTACGGTCCTGGCCCGGTGTATAGCGCCGCCTCGGGCCCAGGATTACCTTAGTTATCTGCCTGGCTAAGCCTCTTCTCCCCTCTCTGCCCGAGACAGGCTCTAGGAAGATGCGACCCGTGTCTGGCCCGTCTGGACCGACTACTACACAGGACCCGGTTCACACCATCATCTATCTCCTTTCCCTCTCGGCCCTGATCCTGCTCCGTCCTCCGGTACTCGATTGACCCTGGGCCCTTTTTGGAGATGGCGCTTCCTCGTAGCCGCGGAGCGGACTCTCGAGCGACGCTTGATTAAGGTAAGAAAGGCGAAGGGGCGCATCGCATCGTATCGCAAGAGATGCCGCTCTTGTGCGGGGCAATCGATGAGGGAATCAATCTTTCACTCCACTCCACTGTAAAGGCTCTCGGGGATAAACTCTAAACTCTAAACTCTAAATCCAGAATCCTAAAATAATTCAAATAAAATAAAATAAAACGCTCCCAAACCTAACAAGACCGCTACCACCAACAACAATCCCTATCTACAAATAAGAGAACCCCAAGATCCAGATCCAGATCCCCATCCATAATATCACGTGTCTCCCCCCCAAACAAGCCTCCTTCCCTTCCCTCCCGCTCCATCCTCCCCCCTACCAAAAAAAGCCACTCCTCAAACAGGAAGTATAGATCCGAGATTCTCTCTCGATCGCGGGGTTTCCAAAATCTCAGTGGCGCACTCCTATGTTCCCCGCCATCCAGGGTTGGGAGAGAGAAAGACTGGAGCCTGGAGTCTTTTTTTAGGGAGGGGTGGCTGAGGAGTGGTGTGATTTTTTTTTTTTTTTTGAGAGGGGTTTGGGGAGCGGGAGCGGGAGCTAGAACTGAGGCTGAGGCTTGGGGGAGGGATTGGGAATTGGGAATTGGGGGTTTGGGGTTTGGGGTTTGTTGATGTGTGAAGGAGAAAGAGGGAGGAAGGATTGGGATAGAGACTCGAGAGGAGGGAAGAAGAGCTTTTTGTTCTTATTATTGTTCGAAATAATTGTTCAAATAAGTATAGGATCGGGATGGCGGAAGTGAGTTCAGATGAGATGGTGGATTCTGCAATGAACATAGCGATCGAATCTAAATCATTCCCTCGGGTTTTCGAGGCGTATATTTACATGTCATGACCAAGTAAGTATCCTCGATCTCCTTGTACGTACATGTATGAGAAGAACTGGTTCTTGCTGTGCCTTGCAATCTCCTCATATTATAACATCCGGATCCTGCTCTCAGTTCACCGGCACCGGCTTCGATCCGAGATTGTGCAGAGCAGTATCCTCGAATCGATATGGTGTTGGGTATCCGCCTCCCCATCTCCCGGAAGCAAGATAAGCTTTCAGATGTATTGATCGCACTATGTTGACATCATCGGCGCAGTCTCCAAACGGCTGGGTCGGGATTGCACGCTCTTCATCCGAGACTGTGGATCGCCTGTAGATCTTGGATAGAGCCAAGTAATTCCCTGCCTGAACAGTGGAGTAGGAGAGGGTGGCCTGCGTATTTCGGAACCTCACGCCGACAAACTCAAGCCCGCACCCTCGTCGGTATCCAAGGCCATGCCGTCTTCTGCGAAAGAGCCTTGGATCTCCTCCTCGGTAGCCTCCATACCTTCGGAACTCATCAGGTTGTTGTTCTTATCCTCCGCTACACCATCGTTGTCAGCATCAAGGGCATTTTTGTACGGACGTGATAAATAGAACTTACTCTTTGCCTCAACCAGCAGGTTCTCCTGCACCTCACAATCAACCAAGATACTATCCTCCCCAATCACACTCCGCTTTCCAAGGATACATCCCGTCAGTTTGCATCCCTTACCCACGACCACCCCGTCCATCAACACACATCTCGTAAGCTTCGCTCCTGATTTAATCTGGCAGTTCGCTCCGATGACGCATTCCTTGATCGAGCATTTTTCCTCGACGGTGACGTTCTCGGCGAGCAAGCAGTCAGGGCGCGTGACGGTGGTTTTGGAGGCGATGCCTTCTGGATAGGCGACCTTGGATTGGTGCGCGAAGGGGGAAGAGGCCTCTCGGCCAAGGTTCTCGATTGAGTCGAGTTTCGCCAGCTGCAGGGAGATGGAGAGGAGTAGAGGCGCCGTGTCAACTCGACGGATGAGGGGGACAGTGGGGGTCTTAGGGGTGGGTTTGGAAGGGTGGATGTAGGCCAGTATCGGTGGGATGACGAGCTGGTCGGAAGCTTCTGGCGCTTGAAGCTTCGATGTCCTAGTCGTGCTTAGGCTCGCGAAGTCAACGTCGTCTGTAGGTGCATCTTGCAAGAGATTGTCGTCCTTGGCGGCAGAGTCAGGGTTCCGAAAGACCTCCCTAAGTCCTAGTTTATCGCCTAGACCATCTTGCCATCCGGCCTTGGCCCACCACCCAATTACATCCTCGCCAATGCTGTCAAAGTGCTCGTTCAAATTTATCATGTCGAGGACCCAGGCTGGAAAGATATAAATATGTGCATCACGGTGCGAGCTCAGCATTCGTATCCGAGAGTGGGCACGGACGAGGCTGTGTCGAATAGGTAGCGTCTTCTTCTCCTCGGTGATATCGTTAAGGGTGTCAGTTGGCACAGAGTAGACTAGCCTTGACACATGTGACAGCAATGAACTCTTCGGCGGTGGGACTGAGAGAGTTTCTAATGGCGATGTAGCGATGAAGTCGGTTTCCTCGCCCTTGACAATGGTCTCGCCCTTGGTTTCATACCAAACTCCAAGACCACCTTTTCGACCCCCTCTGGGACTATCAAGGGCCGTCTTTGGACTGCGACCACCTGCATCTGCCCCACCAAGGCCAGCTTCCTTAACCATCCATGATTCGATCAAGGACTCACCACCAAGTTCACACACGAGATCACAAGGGAGGACAATGAAGTCCCCGTTGATGGCAGCGCGAACTTCTGGTAAGCGGAAGATTTGAGCGGTACCTGTGTTCTGGTCGAGATCTTTAGGCGCCAAGATATTGGGTTTCGGAAGAGGAAGTCCAGTAAGGTGGGGATTGGTATTCATTGCCGCCTCGATCGCCGGGGCAGATGAGGGCGGGGCAATAAGGGTAATATCTAATTTATGAATAAGTCTATGTATGGACCAAAGAGCAGAGAAGCAGAGTAGACGGCATGGATTGCAAAAGAAGGGGATATATGATCACATGACAATGCTCATACTTGACGAGCTCAGGTGCAAACGCTTGAATTCAAGAATAACAGACTGAAGATAGCCTCAAATATCACTTCAATGCCCCAAGTAAATTAACTCACTTGTAACGCCCATACGATAGCAGAAGTCTATGGGGTACCAGACCATCGGCCGGTTCGCAATGGGGATGAGGGCCTTGGGATTCTCATCTGGATTGGTGGTAAAGGTGGGAAACGATGATCCAGGGCCGCACAGAATAAGGGCCTGAAAGCCAGGGGCTGGCATTGTGAGTGCATGAGGCATAGCTGTGATTCTCTTGGCCAGAACCAGGGTTCGAATTGGCTTGACTCTCTGTCCTTCTCCGGTCTCTCTGCTAGAGTCCCTCTCTGCGGGCTACTCAATTCTTGACAGATATGCAACTTTGCAAGAGCAACAAATGGCTGCTCGTATGATCAACTGACCAAGGGAGCAAATAGGAGGATCCTTTCGGAGGCGGTCGTGAAGAGAAGAAAGCAGTGTTCGTCGTGCTGTGACTGTTGTCCGCGATATCAAAATAAAAAGTTGGCGATAAGTCAGCGCTTAGTCATCTACCTATGATCATCCTACGCGCGGCTGAATCACGTGCATAGCCTATCACGTGTATACCTCGGCACAGACGGTTATTGGATCCCGTCGCGGTGGAAACGACCGAAAGTCAACAAATCCATCAACTCCATCAGCTCCCTCCCAGCCTCACGCTTTTCCGTCTCCCCTTTTCCGTCTCCCCTTTCAATGCGCCATCCCCCATCTCCCTCCTTTTGCGCCGTGCGATCCTGATCGGCTCTTCTATAATCTACACGTCAACTAAGGACGGCTTTCGCGCGACTGCAATGATCAATCCATAACACCATGTCCTATCCCTACGACCGATCGCGCAGACAGCACCGCGGCACCTTCACCTACTGGCTACCCTTGGTTTTCACTGTGACTGTTGCGACTGTTGGTATTGCGGCTTGGATATGGAGTGAGCGAAAAGACGACGACGAGGACCAGCTTCCTCCTCCCCCTCCAGGACCTGGCTATCCACCCCCAGGTCCTGGATATCCACAGCAGGGCTTCCCACCCCCTCCCGGAAGCTATCCACCACCCCCTCCTGGAGACTATCCAGGACCACCTCCTGGAAGTTATCCACCTCAAGCTCCGGGCTACCCTCCAGCGCCTGGTTACCCTCCTCCACCAGGGGAGCCGTATGGCAGGAACCCAGATGGCAGCATCCGAACGGGACCACCGTCCTATAACGATGGGCGCCCCGGCGAAGCTGCGTACGGACCTCCACAACCCTCACAACCACAAGGCTACTTTGCGCAGATGTCTGGCGCGCTAGGTGGGGCGCTGCGCAGAACCCCTAGTCCTCAGCAATTCATCGATGGTGCGAGCAGGAGCGTAGCGGCTGGAGTCGCGGCCGCGGGTGCCGTTGTTGGAAGTGCTTTGTCCTCGATTAGAGAGGAGGATAAGAATGCGTATACGGATCATAAGACGTGGTCGGAGGAGGCAGAAGCACGGGCTCCTGGCGCAAGTCCCGGCCCGCCTTCACAGGGCATTGAGATGCGATCTGCGAGCGAGGAGGGTCCATCTACTGCACGAGTGCCGGTAACTACTGGACGACGGAAGACGGTGGCTATTGTTGTGTCTGCTGACACAAATGATGATGGCGTGTTGGATGAGGAGGACACTTTCCATGAGCATGCTGTATGTATTCTCTCTTACTGCATGAAATATACTAACGAGACAGTCCATTCTATCCCATCTCCCTCGCAACACCGACTTCTCGAAGATACGTCTATTCGTCCTCATCTACGCACCCGGATTAAAGGAGCATCCACTTGACTCCGCGGCCAATCGCCCACCGGGATCTCTCAGCTCCTCATTCTCCAACATTGGTCATGATCAAGCACAAACCCCTACCGACGAGAAACCACCGTAAGTTCTCCCATTTCTACCTGGAATCTGTCCTGACAATTCCAGATTCTCCTCGTCTAATTCTCCAGCATTCAATGCCATCTACTCTGAAGCTCTTGCCCTCGTCGAAAAAGATACCATGGTTCTCCCCTTTACCACCTCCTCAGGACACATCCACATACTACGCCACCTCAACCCCGAAATCGTATACCTCCAAGAGTCACTCGCAGGTTCCAACGGCGAACTCATCACACATCTCCAAAGCTGGCTACGCCAAGACGTTGTTCTGGTCGTCGGGGCTGAAGGAGGCGGTGGGTTGGCAGATAGCGAGTCGGAGGCTGAACAGCCGTCGAAGGAGAACCAATGGTGGAGGAGTGAGGAGAGAGTTGGACTTGGACGCGGGGTGGTTGTGGTTGAAGGGTTGAGGGTCGGTGATGACTGGGCTAGGAGAGTGGAAAACAAGGAATGATCTGTCGATGGAAAAGGGGGAGTTGTGATGTATGATTGTCTTTTATCTATTGAATGATTTACGGATTTGGCACTGGACGGCAGACTTTAATTTATACTTAGCTATGACCGGTTCCCGTGCCAGCCTTTTTTAATGCCTCGTGTATTGCGGTTCCTTGTTCCTTCATCCCTGAGAAAGATATTCTGGACATCCTGGACTGGAATTTTGAGGCTGATGCTCTGCTTTGGAATTGGGGAGTATATAATCCTAGGGTAAGACCGCAACCACGATAGCAGTTTGAGACTCAAGAAAGACACACTTGAAAGCAAGTATGAATACAACTTGGCGATGTATCTGGTCTTGTATAAGTTACTCTACTTACTCCCTCTTCATCAATAGGTAGGTAATTCCAGCCTTGCAATCACGTGCCCGATTCCGTCTCGCTTCGTTCGAACTTCCATCCAAAGCATCCAACCAACCCCACCAAACCCCACAGCTCGACTGCGACTCTCTCCAGTAGCAAGGGGACACAATGTCGCACGCACGCATAGAAGAAGTCTCGGACTCGGATCCCGAGTACGCCAGCGACCCGTCCGAAGACGACATCGAAGACTTCGACGAGCGCGAGATCATCAAAGCACGCGGTCCCAAACCATCACAAGTCCCACGACCCGCGAACCCCTCGCTCCTGAACCCCAGCGCCGTGCCGTCCGTCTCCAAAGACGGCATTGAGTTCCAGTCAACGGAGGATGATTCTAAGTATAAGGATTTCCAATGCATATACCCGATCTACTTCGACCGCAACCGCTCGCGGAAAGAGGGTCGACGAGTAGGGATTGAAGGCGCGGTGGAGAACCCATTGGCGCGCGAGATTGTTGCGGCATGTGGGAGGCTGCGGTTAGAGACACTGTTCGAACCGACTAAGATCCATCCGAAGGATTGGGCGAATCCGGGGAGGGTGAAGGTCAAACTAAAGGGCGGGCAGAATCCGATGATTAAAAATAGTGCGTCTCCTTGTTGCTTCTCTTTCCTGCGTTGTTAAAGGGGGCCGAGCTGACGAGCGCGATTTGTGTAGAGCATCACCTCTATACTCTCATCTCCAAGCATCTGATAGCGAATCCTACCACCGTAGAGTCGGCAATCAGAGTCCGCGTGCCTGGGTTACCGCCCCCTGACCCGAAGAAAGAATATCCGAAACCCGCGGTGCCGAAAGGATGGAAGATTGGAACCTTATTGCCATATTATAGTCCAGGTCTTAGTGGAGGGGGAGTGAGCGAGAACTTCCTAAAGGATATGATGGCTGAAATGGGTGCTGGTGGTATGCCTGGGATTCCAGGGATGCCAGGGATGGCGGGACTGGGCGGAGAAGGAAGTGGTGGGGAAGCGCGAAAGAAGGACAAAAAGGACAAGAAGAAGAAATAAAAGTCGAGAGGATGCTAACACGGATGAGCAGACTTTGCGTCAAGAGATGCGAGCCCCATGCTGGATGTGGGGATTAGTACCCAGATCCATGCCCCAAACACAGCATTCTCCCCTTTAGCTAAAGAAAACAGAAGCTGGAGTTAGCTCACGCTTTGTAGCGCTATCATTCGCAAGCGCGTGTGTTTAGGCAGAAGCAGGAATTAGATAAGATCCTGATACGGAGTTATTATTTATATCAGACGTTGATAAGAGGAGTTTATTTTCTACTTATTCCCGTCTCTTGTTATAAGCGGCTACACAGTTGTGAGCATGATTTGCGTTTGGAATATGTGAAAGGGGACAGATCTTGCTGAGAAGAAAAGAGTGCAGAGGAGTAAGGTTGAAGAGAGAATATAACATACCTGTAGCATCCTTGCCATCTTCAAGGTCATCGTCCAAGATAATTACTTCAGATTTCCGCTTCATCTTGGTGCCTAGAAAGGTAGAGTCAGGTTGAGTCATAAAGTTCTTGAAGAGTTGTGTGAAGAAGATGCTTACGGTAGGAAGGGAGCGAACGAGAGAGACAAGTCGTAGATCTACTTTCGCTTAATATCTGAAGACAATAGTCAAAGTGAATAATACAAGAACTGTAGTACGACTTGAGGAGGATGTCTGTAGAGGGTATAGATGCTAGAAGCTAAAGACGAGGTAATAGACAGAGATAATCAGATCTATTCAGAGACTTGATCGAAATAGAAACTACGAGTATTCGTACGAACGCTCTGTAGCTTAGAGTATCCTAGGGTGTAAAGGCTTGTGGGTAGGCGAAAGGACGAGAGTTCAAGAGATCGAGAAGGTCTTTGTAGTAGAACGGGTGATAGAAAGGGTGCTCGAGGGACAAAGAAGCGAGGTCAACGGAGAGTAGTAGACAATCAAATTAGACAGCCAAAGAGAAATGACCACTGGGGTAGATCTTGTGAAAGAATACAGAGAAGGGTATCGAGAGAAGACTCGAGAGAAATCTGTTCAACAAGGGCATTTCCTTGTAACCACATCACTTTCATGACTTTGAGAGATTTTTGGACTTCAGATCCATCAACTAATGAACCGTGACGTCTCTTCTCAAGACGTAAATCAGGCCGTTGACTGATCACACCTTTCTCAACCAACGACCTCAAGAACTTTAGGTATCTACTTTAACAACCATAACCACTCTTGTGTCTAAGATCTACGCTCCCCGAAGGAGAGAAGAACAAATGTTCTGGTTCTAAAGCATTCTTAAACTCTGATTTTCAACATCTCAAAAATCTTGAATGACTAGCCACGAGGGTTATATTCATTGAGACTTCTGCGCTCGCAGATTCTGACGCCGAGTTATTCTTCCTCCAAATTATGCGAAAGTCTTCTCGTTTCACCTGTTAACATTCTTTCTTTGCCATGTTGCTAAAATAACAGTCAACAGGTCTCGATGCTGCTAGGCAGCAGAACTCCGGCCGCGCTCAAGCGCCGTCTCCCAGCCTCTCATCATCATCATCTCGCACGTTGACTTCGGAATCACCCAAAGCCATGGGAAGATTTAGGTACAAACGTCGGAGGAGAGACCCAGATTTGATTGTTCTGGATGAATCTGAATCCGAGTCAGAGACAAACCCCAACGATCCAAGGGATAGAGTAATAATAGATATTGAAGAGTTGGAGGAGAAGCTCGAAGACGAGATTTTTCAAGCACCGCCGAAAAAGCTACAAAATAGCATCATCGAGAGGAATTCACTGATCGTACCACCGCTTACAGAGATCCGAGAGACTCTGTGGGAAGGTTCTCGTCTCCGGGCCGATACAACAGTCGAATGCCTCGATGGAAGCTTCCTACATATTAAGGGAATCGTCAAAAACCTTCAAACCGATGCTATAACTCTCCGGGGTTGGGAACTAAGGAGAACTCGAGACTCGCGTGGCCTGTTGCCAAAGAAACTCAATGAGCTCTACTATATCTTCCAGGTCGATCTCGATGATAAGCGGGAGTTACGAGAACAAAGCGTTGTCGAGATGGACTTGAGCAGGCTAAGAAAGATGCGGAAGCTGATTCGCACGAATCAACCTTTTCCAACGCATTCCTTTCGATCTACTTATTCGGCAGAAAATGAGAAGTACATCGAAGATAATGAGAACTACATCGAAGACAATGAGGTCTTGGTCGTCCGGTGGAAGTATGTTACGACGTATGAGAACGCAAAAGCTCGAGTGACGAATTCGGGATCCTCCCGCAACTATCATAGCCGACAGATGGTTATGCTTTCTAGAGACGAATGCGATGGCCCCGATTTCAGTATTCCTCCCTACGCGCAAAGATTTGCCTGGCGGGGTGACCTGGCCCCAGAGTCACAGGAGATGAAAAGATCTCGAAACCCTCATCCAGCAACTAAGGATACGGTTATTATCGACATTTCTGACGACGGGGATGAGAAGGAGTCAAAGCAAACACAGCGAAAAGCATTGGTAGCTGGTCAAGCCAAGATCAATATTTCTGCCAATGACTTCAATGAAGTCAACTCTCGAAAGTTTGTAGAGATTATCCGTCGTAGATTTGAAGCGGCGTTGATGCTCCAGGAAAACAAACTCCCCCAAAATCCTACGCTCTCGACTGCTGTCACGCAGAAATGCACCTCCGGTTCTACGCAGAAATACACCTACGGTGATGCTTGTGAGTGGTCTATGATTTCCTGTGGATTGTATGTTGCTAATGTACCTTAGTCTGCGGGGCAGGTGGGATGACCCGCGCTGCTGAGATGGCGGGCTATAAAGTGGTATGGGGCCTAGATTTCAACCCTAACGCTGCTACAACATGGCGAGCGAACTTCCCTGCCGCGAGGATGTACGAGATGTGGGCAGACGAGCTTTGCTGCTATTCGAGAGACGATCTTATAGTAGAGGTGCTTCATCTATCACCGCCGTGTCAAGTCTGGTCCCCGGCGCACACTCGGGCTGGGCAGGACGACGAGATGAACTTTGCCTCTCTCTTTGCCGTTCAAGAACTCTTGCACAAAGCAAGGCCGAGAATTGTGACGTTAGAGCAGACATTTGGCATTCTGCATGACCAATTTCGACAGCCTTTCAATTCGCTCATTAGAATGTTCATCGATCAGGGGTTTTCTGTTAGCTGGCAGGTTATCGACTTGCAGAACTATGGTCTGCCGCAGAGAAGAAGAAGATTGATAATTATTGCCGCCGGGTCAGTATCCTTAGTACGCGTTCTTTCAATGTCTTGCTAACACTCCCCCAGCCCCGGCGAGACTATCCCCCAGCTTCCCAAACCCACACACTCCGAATCAGGACACGGCGGATTAAAGCCCTACACGTCGGCGCGCAGCGTGCTCTCTTCCATCCCCCGAAACGCAGCTAATCATGACATCCAAGCCGCTCAAACAAAGGCGACCTACATCCCCTGGGACGACTCCAGCATAATCCCAAACTGTATCACGACGGGGGGCGCCAATGGCAGAGGACATCCCAGCGGGACGCGGGGGCTCACGCAGCGAGAATTCGCAAGCCTGCAGACCTTTCCCCACACGCATGTTTTCAAGGCGAAAGCGATCCGGAAGCAGATCGGAAATGCGGTGCCGCCAATGGTGGGCAAGGTTATCTTGACGTGTGTGCGGAAGCATCTGGAGAAGTTTGACGAGGCGGAGGAGAAGGAGTTGAGAGCGGAGCGTGGAGAAAAGGATTGATGTTTGTGAGTTTTGCGCTGGAGGGGATACATTATGGCTTTGCGATGGGATGGATAGTACAATCAGTACTTGAGATGGGATTGTTTTTCGCCATGGTACTCTGATAATGGGCAGGGTGTTGACTCTTGAGGAAATTATCTGGCTGTTCTGAAGAAGAGATGTCCTTTTCTCTCCTTGGGGTCACTTTCGGAATCCACTTCATGCGTGGTCTTTGTCTTGCTCCCCTCGAAATGGCTATCTCCAGGCATCCTTCGAATACGGAGGAGGGGAAAAGCTCTTTCCTACTTCCTCTTCAAGACTCGACCATGAATAAATTGTCTATTCAATAGAGTTCCCTATCCAACTCCTGTTTCTGACTTCGCACGTCGACATGTGTGAATTCTTCTTAAATCAGCTTTACGGGGATGCAAATAAATATGAAGGTAAGTTCTTCTGTGGTTTTGGGAATAAGGAAGGATATGATATGGTGATGGTGATTCGGTTCTTTAATGGGCTTGCTGGAGCTGCTGTATAGATCTATGGGTCAGGTAGGTAGGTAGGTAATATGAAGCGATACAGCAGTTTTTGAATTTCTAGACAGCTATATGATTAGAGGGTAATGATGATGATGATGGTGGATGATGGTGGATGATGATGATGATGACACACCTGGGTCCTGGACTATGATCCTCACAGAAAGCACTCGGCGTACCCTCGGTACGAAGTTAATCCTCATTCATGTTTCGTTTCATTCCTTATACAATCAAATAATCACAGAACCGTCTGTCGAACAATTACTTTGAACAACAAGTATAAAGTAATGATATTTGTATCTATGTTTATATATGTATATATATCTCTGTTGCGAGTTTCGCTGCAGAATGGTGGTTCCTGAAAATCGCGGGGAAACTAAGGTTCAGAGCTAGGCACACGTCACTGACTACTTCATCAACATTAAATATATCGTCATTACTCGTCCAAAATCAAGGTTCTGAACATATGGTAAGTAAGTTATGAAAAAAATGGGTAATAATATATAAAAGAGCAAAATCCGCACTTTCTTTCTTCCCTCTCCAATTTTTCAACCCTCTCAGAACGATCTCGAGAATAAAAAGGAAAGACACGAAACGAACGATGTATATTCCCGGAGTCCAAAATGTGTTTACTGCAGGTCTGGCTTTGACTGGATCTATGATGAAACGTTCGTTTTTCCCCTCTTTTGCTATCCTTCTTCTACGTTGGATAGATAGGAAAGCTAATTTTATACAAAATAGCGGAAACCATCTCATCAGGCAAGATCCTCGATTTCGAAGTACAGAAGTGTATCGATGAAGACGGGAACCAGCGCTGCAGCAAGCCGTTCCTGGTGCACAAAGCGACATGCTACCAGATAGAATGGAGCTCCGAAGGCGCATTGTCCCACACGACGGTGGAGGTTCGGGACGCGGGGTCCAATGAGTTGGTGTTTTATAGGGATACGAATGGAGAGTGGACGCCGGAGAAAGGGGAGGTGAGTGCTTTTTTTTTTCCTTTTCTGATGATGATTCTGGGGAGATGATGAGAGGAGGGGGGAAGTGTGGAATTGTGCTGATGAGTGATGCGGTGTAGTTGGTGTATGTGGATTTCAAACCGAAGGTCTGGAAGCAGGGGAATAAGACAGTCGAGTATACGGTGGAGACTTGCAAATGAGAGAGTTGATGAGTGATAGCAAGCTGCTGCTGCTATAATGTATAAACATGGTTCTCCGAGAGGATGTATCTATCTATCTATTATCATCCCTGGGAATATTCCGGAGATTCTCTAATCTAAAAAGATATGAATCTACCCATTCATCCATTCAATATCACTAAATATCCCAGCAATGTTAAAATACTTGACAAATCCACAAAGTGATATTTCCGAATCCGGGATACAGAATGGACTATATCACATCAAGATATAAGATCCATCCAGTTGCAGAAACAAAACAAAATAAAGCAAATCATCATTCCCTTAAGGACCCTCTCAAGCACAGCCTCTCCCCTCTTTCCACAAACGGGATGCGAAATGATCCTATCACCAACTTCAAAATGGGTCATGACGAATCCATCCAGTACCCTATACATTCCTCTATATCCCTCCGTTCTCTGTGATTATCATTTCATTCTAGAATTTCTGGGTAAAAATACAAAGGTTCTACAGTAAGGAATTGCTGGTGGTGTATTCATAAGGTAGGCTACTCATCCTCAACCAACCCCTTGAAAATCTCACCTCTCTTTCGTCCGGGTCTTTCTTTCTTTCTTTCTTTCTTTCTTTCATCTCCATCTTACTAACTCTTCCATATAGACTTATGTATCTATCAAATCACAACTCCCTAGTATAATATAATTCTCTCTCCGAAGTCTCCTCTCCGGGCTTTATTTAAACCACATTGATATTGTTGAACCGTGCACAACTGCGAAGCAGTGGAAGTCCACAGATACCTTTTCTGCCTCTCCTATTCATTCCCCGTTCAACGAACGTCTGGTTTCCTATCTGTACATCATATTCTTCTCATCGCTCAGACATTTTCCTCATTCCGTTTTGTTGCATTTCCCTACGTACCTGTACTTACCTACATACAAAGAACCCGGTATCTAAACCCAACCCAACCCGAATACAATTCAATCCAATTCAACTCGACATCTTCCCTCAACTCGCGGGGTCCAAAGTTTAAAACCTACTTAAGTAGAAGGATCCGCGGCACCTCCATACCCCGACCCCCGACCCCTGACCTCTATAGCAGAGCAGAGCAGATGCCAAAGCTTATTATTAACTAACCTATTAGACCCCCATCACCATCCTAAAACAAGCCTCAAGTACCATACCATGCTAGGTAAGTTTTTAAGAGAGAGAGGAATCCTACAAGAAAAATGCTTTGCTTCGCCACGATCCTCGTTTCGTCCCCCCGCCGCCGGCCTTGTCTCGTACCTACTATACATCTCACATGATGTGATGTGACTTCTCGTAAAAAGAACGAAATGAAAATGAAAAATGAAATGAAAATAGGAACAGGAGCAGTGTGAGAGAAAAAAGATGGATGGATGGATAAATGGATGGTATTTTTCCGCTAAAACCTATTCTATTCGTATCCCTGAATTCGCAGCAGCCGGGGGGACGGGGGGGATACGAGGTTGGTCAAGGGTCACGAGCTTATCATATCGTATCGTATCGTAGGTTGTGCCGTGCCGCGTTGTATCTTATTATGCTTCAGAAGAAGAAGAAGAAGAATTTTTTTTGCTTCTTTCCTTTCCTTTCTTTTTTGTTTATATATTAATCTATTCATATATATCTTGTGTCGTTTTCCATTTTCGTTCGCTGTTGGAAGATGCATGTATGTTATGGGATCTTTACTCGACTTTACTTGACTGGACTTGATTTGATTTGATTTGATTTGACGGGTTACATTTTACCTATTTACCTATTCTGGGGTTGTCTTACATGCAACGTTCGCTTTTTCGCTCCAAGACGTGCAGCTGTCAGAACCAGGGAGTTGGAGATACGGGGTGTGCTGCTGCGCTCTTGCACCTCTGGACTTGTGGGCGCGAGCCGCGCAATCAAGATCTTGTCTTCTGATCTCTTGTTGAGCTGTCATAAATGTATTTTTTGTAGCTGGGCGGTCAAGATCAAGGTCAAGATCAAGGTTCAAGAAGTCGATCGCTGTCACCAACGGCTCAGCGCAGGGGAGAGAGGCCGCCGTTTCATTCATTGCAGCACAGACAAGAGAGATCGACCTTGATTCAAACATCATGGCTCGATTGCATCGCATCGCTCCCGTTCTTCTCTTCGTTCTCATGCGAGTGGTCTTGGCCATCCAGGTCGATTTCAATGATCCACGTATAGTTTCTCTCCCCTCCCCCCGACTGTTTCCTACAGATACCCCCGCATTTCTCACCAGGAACACGACTAACAAGCTTTTCCACAGAGTCGATCAAGAGCGCCGCCAGCACCGTAGCTTATGGGTTGGTGAGCTACTACAAAGGCAACGAGAGCGGGCAGACGCCCGGCGAGCTGCCCTACCCGCCGTACTTCTGGTGGGAGTCGGGAGCCATGTGGGGAGCGCTGATCGACTACTGGAGCTTCACGGGCGACGCGACATATAACGACATCACGAGCCAGGGCGTCCTGTTCCAGGTGGGCAACGACAACGACTTCATGCCGCAGAACCAGAGCTTCGATATGGGGAACGATGATCAGGCGTATTGGGCCTTCACGGCGCTGACGGCCGCCGAGGCGAACTTCCCTAACCCGCCGTCGACAGAGCCCTCGTGGCTGTCGCTGGCGCAGGCCGTGTTCAATGAGCAGATCGGCCGCTGGGATAACAGCACTTGTGGGGGAGGTCTTCATTGGCAGGTGTTCCAAGCGGCCAATGGGTATCATCTGAAGAATACCCCTTCCAACGGAGCTCTCTTCCAGATCGCAGCCCGCCTTGCGAGATATACGCACGATGAGATGTACGCGCAATGGGCCGTCAAGATCTGGGACTGGATGTGGGCGGTGGGGCTGGTTGACAACGTCAACTACATGGTATACGACAACACGGATGCGAACAACAACTGCACGACACTCGATCGGCAGATGTGGACCTATAACGGCGGGACGATGCTCGCCGGGTGCGCTATCATGTTCAACTATGTAAGTGCTGCTTTGCTTGCTTCCACGGCACAGAAGGTGAAAAAAGCTCATAGTTGGTAAGACAGGTGATCCAATCTGGGCGAATCGAACAGCGAATATCCTCAAGGCAGTGGCCGTCGATTACTTCCCCAACGGCATCATGATCGAGCTCTGCGAGGCGTCCGGCCAATGCGACCCCGACCAGCAGACGTTTAAAACCTTCCTCTCCCGCTGGATGGCGACGACGGTACAGATGGCGCCCTTCACGGAACCCACCATCACGCCGCTCCTGCGAAACTCCGCCGCCGCTGCCATGCAGCAGTGCGATGGCAGCTTCTTCCCCGACCACACGTCCTGCGGCCAACGCTGGTCCCAGAACGCCACGTGGGACGGTTCTAACGGGCCCGGACAGCAGATGGCCGCCCTGGAAATCCTCCTCAGCACTATCATCAAGACCCAGCAGGTGCCGCTCACTAATAGCACGGGCGGCACCAGCATATCGGATCCTACCGCCGGACATAATGCGTCCAGCGTCGCGCCCGGGACGTACATGACGCCGCCTACTCACAGGGGGCGCGTCGGCGCCTGGGCCTTGACCGCTGTGCTGATCGTGGCGAGTCTCTGCGGTACGTGGTTCATGGTGTCGGACGGGTTGGAATCAGGTACCAGTGGTTTGTATAAGAGGAGGGTTGCGCGAGGGAAGGGCAGGGCGGTCGGATAAGGTATGAGATGACGACGGCGGGAATGCTCGCAGAGGAATCGCCGAAACCAATTGATCTCGACGGGAGGATGGCTACGTCAGGGTACTGCGTATATTGCGGTTTTCAGATTTGATGATGCGGGCGGAACTGAACTTTTGCGGAATACTTGAGTTATTGAATCTGAGGCCCGGGTTCTGTATATGATGGCATGAAGAAGAGACGACGAGCTCTAGGCATTCAGCAAGCGCTGTTATGCAAGATGTACCTCTTCTCGTCAAGGACAGCTAATTGGATTGCTAAAGCTCTTTTGGTTGGCATCAATCGTAATATGGCCGATGTCTGACTTGGAGTTACAAATCACACTTGTACAATAACCCCTCATCAATATCGGAGGGAGAAAAAAGAAGAAACTTATGATATCCAGCGAATAGTCAGTAGCATAATTGTCAAACGGATATAGAATGATTGATTTATGTAGGCTTTTTGGCACTTGCTGGATAATGGACATATGGCGCTCTAGCGTTTTGAAGTTTTGAAGTATCTCGGGGGACTTATTCCATAATTCAGGACATCGATCTTCCTGGAAGGGGGACTTTTTAGCTTGGACGTGGTCAAGAACTTCTAGCCAGATAGCTAGCTTTGCTTGGGTATAAAATGCCTGGGTGTACATCTGCATGTTCATGGCTTGACACCGGTCATGTTCTCGCCCCTCCGTAGAAACCATTATTCACATGGCAACATCAAAGAAGCGCGGGACTCGGGATGTCGAATGTTGAAGGTCCAGACTAAGCTGCAGTCCACTGAACTGCAATCCCAATCTATTGTCGAGTGGTGTTCCCAATATCAACTCTCCTAAACATGCCCACGTGCTTGATGCCTTCCTCGTACCAACTTCCCATACCTTCGTCGAGCTCGAACCCCCACTTGGCCCAGACCTTCGCCACTTGTTCTTGGGCATGGACGCACATGAGGCCCTTCCAGACAGGCACATCGTCCACGCTCTTCGCACCAAGGTTTTCCATTCCCACAACTGCAATGGATGGGTTGAAGAAGGTGGGGTTCTGTCGGGCCCAGGTTATTGCGGAATCCGCCAGAAGCCTCGCTATTCCAGATCCACGGAATTCCTTCAACACCGCTATTCTTCCCAATTTGAGATATGGTTCCTTTCCATCGTGGAATGTTGTCGGCCGGTCGATGATGTAAGGCGGAGGACCGGACACTGCTTCGGGTGCATCGAGGGTATATGCCGAGCCAGGTTCCGGATGTGCTGCATGTGGGAATGGGACGAGCCTTATTGTACCAATTGGTGTTGACCTGGTAACACTTTGCTTTCTTCTAACGATGTTTCCATCTTCATCCGTCACTTCAGGTTCGACTGTGGTGTTGATGGAAGCATATGCGACCTGTTCCTCGATTAGCCAAAGGGGTCAGGTCTCTATGGGTAAATGATGCACCTACCCAATGGCAAGACCGAGCATCGTCTGCGTCAAACTCATTCTCCAGGGGGATGTTCTGCTCCTTGACGAATACCTGCTCCCGAACCTCCATGGCATCGAGGAATGTCTTGGGGATGGTGGCTGGCTGCTCGGAAGGCTGTCTCTTGCGGTTGTAGCCCTCGAGGTTTGATGGCCCGAGGAACTGGACGAAAGGCGTACCCATTGCGGAGGCCGTTTAGATGGTTGGAGAGATGCGAGTCCTTGAAGAAGGTTGAAAGTGATGGTGCTGACTGTGAAAACGAATGGTGTCGGCCTGTGTTGCCAGAATCTCGAGAGTCTTATGAAAGCAGGAAAATCCCTGGCACGGAAATAGAAGATATCCTGGGCGTTAGTTGCGATCTGTCAGTAATCGATAGCAATGCGGAAATCCACGACAACTCAGTGACCGTCTCGCTCTCTGTGCTCACCCCATCCACCCGCGTGAACCTGGAGAGGCCAATGGCAGGATGGTGTTGTTCTTGGATTGTTGGATTGTCGGATCTGCCAGGAAAAAAAAGGAAAACAGGAAAACCGCGTTGCAATTGACTTCTCCTCAGATTTCCCCTCCATGAGGGCGCATCGGCTTATCGCACCCCTGCTTACGTCATCCCAGCCTTATCGGCGAGGCCGCCACAAATATTTGGAGAAACAGCTCCAACGTGTCCTCTTCCAGCAGCAGAGACAGAAAACTCCCATCAAAGAGAGTTCGAGATCTGTTTTCTTGTGCCAGTTGCCAATCGCCTTTCAGGACCCGTGGCCACACTCATGCGGGATTTCTAGGCGCCTTATAAACCGACCGTCCTCCTCCCACATCGTCTGTCTGCTTCACTCCCTCAGCAGCTCCCGATCTCTTCCAACATGGCTTCCTCGTCGAAGCCTTCGAATAGGATCTTTTCTTCTCCCATATTTGCCATATTAGCCCTCTTCTGTCTCTTCAGCTCCACCGCCCTAGCTGCATCCGCAGTGCTTGGAGTTGACCTCGGCACCGAATACATCAAAGCAACTCTTGTCAAACCAGGAATCCCTCTCGAGATCGTCCTCACGAAAGACTCACGACGAAAGGAGATCTCTGCCGTAGCTTTCAAGCCGGTAAAGAACCCGCAAAGCGGATCATTCCCTGAGAGGGTGTATGGGTCAGACGCCGTAGCTTTGGCCGCTCGATTTCCTGGAGATGTCTACCCCAACCTCAAGCCCCTCCTGGGACTCACGGCAGATGATTCGGTGGTCAAGGACTATTCCTCACGGCATCCCGCACTCCAGTTGGAAGCCGAGAAGATCAGAGGTACAGCTGCATTCCGAAGCGGCGCATTTTCCAAGGATGAGGAGCCATGGACCGTAGAGGAAATCCTGGCTATGGAGCTACAAAGTATACAGAAGAACGCAGAAGCCCTCGCTGGTAAAGGCAGCGTAATCAAAGATCTCGTCATCACAGTACCTCCGTTCTACACTGCGGAGGAGAGGAGAGCAGTAGAATTGGCAGCAGAATTGGCAGGTCTTCGAGTCCTGGAACTGATCAGTGACGGGTTGGCTGTGGGCCTCAACTACGCCACTACTCGAACTTTCCCGAGTGTTACAGGAGGCGCAAAGCCAGAGTATCATATGGTTTTCGACATGGGTGCCGGTTCTACAAAGGCAACGATCATGAAATTCCAAGGAAGGACTGTGAAGGACGTTGGGAAATACAACAAGACAATCCAGGAGGTCCAGGTCCTTGGCAGCGGATGGGATAGAACGCTTGGGGGTGATGCCCTCAATGCTATCATTGTGGACGACATGATCGCTCAATTTGTTGAATCTACCGCGGGCAAGAAAGTATCAGCGACCGCTGAAGGCGTTCGAGCCCACGGGCGTGCTGCGGCAAAGCTCTGGAAAGAGGCAGAGCGCTTACGACAAGTTCTCAGTGCCAACACGAATACCCAAGCTAGCTTCGAGGGGCTTTACGAGGATGCTGACTTCCGATACAAGATAAGCCGTGCAGATTTTGAGCAGATGGCCGCGTCTCATGGTGCGCGTGTCGGTGTTGCAATTCAAAACGCCTTAGATATGGCAGGATTGACAACAAAAGATCTCGATTCCGTTATTCTACATGGCGGTGCTATCCGGACTCCTTTTGTTCAGAAGGAACTTGAAAAGTTCTTCGGAAATGCTGACAAGATCCGAACAAATGTCAACTCGGACGAGGCTGCGGTATTTGGTGCCGGGTTCAGAGGTGCCGGGCTCAGCCCATCCTTCAGGGTGAAAGCAATCCGTGCCTCGGACGGCGCTGCGTACGCTGCAGGGATCAAGTGGACCAACCCCATTGGAAAGCTACAGCACCAGAGATTATGGCAACCTACATCGCATCTTGGGGCTGAGAAGCAATACTCGTTCAAGAACCACGAGGACTTCTCTATCGAATTCTATCAGGTCTCACCTGACTCACCGGAGAAGGAACTGCTGCAACTCACGACACAAAATCTCACTGAGTCTGTTAATGTGCTGAAAGAGAAGTTTGGCTGTACCGATGATGATATCGATGTAAAACTCAGTACGCGCCTTGCCACAAGCAATGGCCAGGTCGAGATTCTGAAGCTCGTCGTTGACTGCGAAGTGGAGGACACGGACAAGGGTGGTGTGGTTGATAGTGTCAAGGGTATGTTTGGTTTCGGGAAGAAGGATCAAGCGCCTCTCAATGAAGAAGATGATCTCGTTGAGACTATAAGCTCCCCTGAGAGTAGTGTTTCTGAGACATCCAGTACTTCAACGGCCACTGCATCCCCATCAGCCTCGGCGAAGAAAGACTCCAAGTCCAAACGTTTCCAGGTCATCCCTATCAAGTATACAACCGAGATCAAGGGCCTTCCACAGTTACCAAGGGCGGAAATCATTCGGATGAAGGATCGGTTAGAAGCTTTTGCTGATTCTGATCGTGCCCGAAGGCTGCGAGAGGATGCATTGAACCAACTGGAGGGTTTCACCTACAGAGCGAAAGACTTCTTGGATAACGAAGACTTCATTGCCTCGTCGACAGAGGAGGAGCGAGCTAGCCTTAAGTCCAAGGCCGAGGCGGCCGGTGAGTGGATCTACTCTGAGGGCAAGGACGCGACTCGTGAAGAATTGAAAGCCAAACTCAAGGAAATGAAGGACATTGTAGCACCCATCGAAACAAGAAGGGAAGAAGCTGCAGCGAGACCGGCGCAAGTCAGGGTTCTCCAAGAGGCTTTGAATCAGACAAAGCAACTCATTGTTGGTATCACGGGACAGATTGAGAATGATACCAAGCTTCATTCTTCATTCAGTGCTTCAAAGTCAGCCGCTGCAACAGCTACTCCATCTGCCAGCGTGGATTATTTTGCAGGCTTGGAAGACGAGGACGAAACAGCCACTTCATCCGCCCCATCCGAAGCAGAGACGCTTAATCCGCCTACCTACACTACCGAGGACTTGACTGTCCCGCAAACTCTGTACGATTCGATTTCGGAATGGCTCACAGAGAAGCTCGCTGAACAAGAAAAATTACCTCCTACAGCTGATCCGGTGATCCTCGTCAGGGACATCGCGGCTAAAGTCAAGCAACTTCAAGACGCACAAATGGCTCTCGTCACAAAGAGCATGAGAAGGCCTTATCAGTCTAAGAAACCAACAAAACCAAAGTCAACCAAGTCGAAGAAGGCTAAGACGTCAAAGACAGAGGCAGCTGATGCCGAAAAGACGATTGACTTCGGAGGAAAACCATTTATACAAGTTGGTACTGACGATGAGATGCCGAGTGAGGAGGAAATACTTGCGTGGGTCGAGAAGCAAAGAGCAGAGGAGCAAGCAGGGAAGAGCGAACAGCAAAAAGAGGAATCCAATGGAGAACAAGCAGCGGAACAAGCGGAGGGACAAGCTGCGCAAGAAGAGGGAAAGCCAGCACCCATAAAGCATGAGGAGCTGTGAGGGATTTACCCGAATGTAAGATACCTAGATATTTGTTGCATTTCAGCGTTTATATGAGATTTGAGACACCCACCTTACAATCCCCAGTGTGTTCCGGTTCCGCCGCCAGTGCTAGACCACGTGATTATGCATCAATTCCAACAGCACGACAACAACAGTATTTCTCTGTTTCGGACAGCTTCCCCTTCCAGCTTCTCTCCAAGCTACAGTATCTGGCCATTATCAACCCAACAAGGACAGAATACGGTTGCATCTCGAACATGTCTGAAGAAGGCTACCGACTGCATTTCCAATGGAGCGCTCACTGTGCCTTCTGTCGCATGAGGCTGCCGACACCCAACTACTATCTGGATTTTGTACCGTCAGAGAGCACAGCCTGGGAGTATAAGGTTCTTGGATGTTGGTTATAATCTTCCAGTCCTTGATAGATGCTTGCCAACTCACCATTTAGTCTGCAATATTGCCGACTCGAACCACCAGCCCAGAATTGTTACTATACCGCTAGATCTAACAGATGCCGACAGTTTTAAAGCCATTTCTGTTATATTCAAGAGCGGTCAGTCATTGACTATAAGAGTCTGTCTCGAATCTCCATGCGCCGGAAAAAAAATTGCTTATCTTGTCCATCTCTCTTGTTGGAAATTGGTCAACGTTACAAATACGAACCCTACCTCATTCTCCATTTATGAGTTCGCGCATTCTACGTATCCACTATTTGAACCTAAGTATGCAGTTGAGGATAGAGACACCACGGTGATAGATTTTGCAAACCCCTTCGTGGGAACTAATGCTCAGACTGAACTGGGGCGGCTGTTGAGTTCGCTGTCACAGTTGCCAGTCGAAATTCAACTCGCTATCTCTGAACTTTGCACTTCTAGTCTTGTGTCATCGCTTCTCTCAGCGGTCAATATATCGTCTACACTTCTTAGCAAGTTTAAAGACAGCCCAGGCCAAACTACTTTTGATCTCATATCTAACGATGTAATCGACACCATATACACTGAATCAATCTCTATTTTTGGTCTACGCTTCTTATCGTTACTAAGGTTCGGTGATCCTAGAGGAGTGCTCTTGAAAAGATCAGCGGCCAAGGGTATCAAGTTCGTCTTAGGTCGATACGGACTTCTTGCCCTTAGCATTCTATATGCAAATGGGACAACGTCCCCTTGGGTCGGAGACACCAAGAATGGCTGGTTTGGTGTGATATATGGGCATGATATCGGACGTTTGCGTATACTACAAGATGTGAGCTCCCCGAAATATCTCTTGAGGGCAAGCTCACATTACCCAGAACCTAAAATATCTCAAAATCGAATTCGCCGATGAGATAGCAAGCTCGGAAACATTGACTCGAGTAATGTGGGACAAAGACTTGTATTTTACTAGTACTCAGCTCCATCACATGCTTGAAACAGTCAACGCACGTCAGATTCGAGGCTTTCGTGGCTGGCGATTGTGTGCATATCTTCCGTTCGTTGATGATGGAGGCTATATTTCGGGCTTGACTATGTACTCAAACACGCATAGTATAACGGGGATGGTAGCGCACGGCGAGACAAACCGATCGATTGGTCTCTGTCAAGGCTGCCCTATCCACCTATCTCTTCGGCCGAATGAGCGTATTGTATCTGTATGGCTTCGAATGCCAGTTGATCATTTCAACTTCGAATGCAATCCCAGCATCTTGGTCAGTCCCTCATAGAATACATCCCGATAGCTACTACTAATACCGTTAGGTTACCACAAGCCACAAACGTACATGTCTCTTTGGACCTTCTCTCCATCCTATTACTATTCAAAGAATGCGATATTCTTGGACATGTCTGAGCCAAGATCCCGGATCCGAAATCATCGGTATCTTTTACGATGTACTTCCAGTCAAGTCCTCGAGAGGCATCGAGAATATAGGGGTTACTAAAGATCATAAGCCCGGGCCTAGCCCCGCCACTATGCCAGCCCTTCCAAGGATTCCTACGCTTCACTACATACCTCAGATACGTGGAGGTATTACTACAGGCGGCTACCTCTCGATCGGAAACCTCTGTTATATTCAAAGCCTAAAAGTGCGTCGATCAGGAGCGCGACTCACCGGGATGTCGATCACTCATGACGACGGGGAGATTGAAATCTTAGGCCAATGGGACCCGTCTTCACCCTCGCCAATCTCAGAGATCTATAATCGCTACGATGGCGTCCTTACGAGCATCGCTTTCAGTTTCGTAGGTGAAGATGAGGCTTCGTGGTTTGTGGATGGGATATCTGTGGGGGTGGATCATTCCATCTTGTCAGGGGACTCACTACATTGGAGGGTTTTTGATATTGGTGGGATGGATAAGGTAGGTTTTTTTGCCTCCTCCTCTGATTGAGGATTGCTTTGGTCTGATGATGTGTAGCCTGTTATTATGTGGTGGTTTACGAGGCTGTATGATATTGTTGAGCCGTGGAGTGGCGTGTATCAGGAGATCAATGTATCAAGTCACGGCTATAGGACCGTGGATTTGGTATGACAAAGTGTGGGAGGGTAGTGGATGGCAACAACAGTTACTGTTGGCTGTTCTGCTTGTATCCTTGAGGTGAGGATTAGGAGGATGGGGGGGCGGGTAGTATAAATTAATTTCACCAGCTTTTTGTTCCGCTCTTTCTTCTCGGCCCTCTATTCTTCACGTCTAAGAATAGCTTAGATTAAAGAAAAATGGCTAAGCATCTATATTAGATTGTTCAAAATATACAATGGAACATGAGGATTGACTTGGTTCCTTACTTGATTTGGTTTTATGATGGGAAAGGACTCTCATCTATCCCAGCTTTCTTCGAATAAGAGACAGGCTAAGGATATTACATGAATAAACTCAACTCTCTGCTTATCCGTAAATTCTTCCCTCGTGTCTATACTTCATCATCTACTTTGATCGAGACAAGCTGGTCCGACCCTCCACATAACTCTCAGCCCCTTTTATAACCGAGTCCAAATCCCAAGGAGAATATAACCACCTTCCGCTCCAGCTAGAGTTACATCTCTAGACTAAAAGCTGTCTAGAATACTCCTTCTATTGTCCATATACCAATTTTTAACCAATATATAAGCATTTCCGGAAACAAACTATGAGATGTCCTTCCGTTCCCCATGGGGTGAAGTCACGTGCACGCGTACCCGCCATACGCGAAACCCCGCGTCGAGCAAAGCTCCACCACCTCTACACGGCCAACCTCACAAGCAAAACCCGAATCTTGCGCGACGATCAAAAAAGAAAAGGAAGAAGAATGCCACCCAAGCCATTCAAGGCCCCGCGGCCGTCCGCATCCGCAAAAACCAGCAGTGGCAGCAGCAGCAAAGGGAAAGCGAAAGCAGCAGCATCTCGAAAGACAAGCGCCGCGCGTGCGTCAGGTTCTAGCTCTTTCGCGCGTGCTACCAACGTTGAAGATTCCGAGGACGATCCTTTCGCATCGATAGGGAATGAGAAGGAGGAGGACGATGATGCAGGTGAGGGAGGGGAAGAAGATGTTGTGGTGATGGATGACGAGGAGGAGGAGGAGGAGGAGAGGAAAGAGAGGATCCCGCCGGAGCTGTTGACGCGATTATTGCATGAATGCTTCACGAATGAGAAGACGCGGTTGTCGCGCGAGGCGAACAAGGCGGTGGGGAGATACATGGAGACGTTTGTGAGGGAGGCGTTGGCGAGGGCGGCGTTTATGAGGGCGGAGGCTGATGCGGGGGGGAAGGGGGACGGGTTCTTGGAGGTAGGTTGTTGTGCTTGTGGTAGTGGGTGAGAGGTTGTGGCTGATAAGTGAGTAGGTCGAGGATCTGGAGAAGCTGGCGCCGCAGCTGTTACTGGACTTCTGAGAGGTGGGCTTCTATGGGTATGGTAGGGAAGGATTTACGGTTGCGATACATAATGAGGCGTTTTGGGCTGGTGGGTTGGTGTTGGGATTGGGTCTGCCTGGGGTTTCGAGAAGCTTGTGGTATGCTTCTAGAGACAGGTCATGAGCTTCACGAGATCGAGCGACAGTTGCGCAGCACTTCAACGGCGATTCATTGGGCGTTTTGATATTGGTAGCAGGAACTCCAGAATCTGGACTGAGGGAATGGGGATCTTGTCACTCTTACAGCAGTAAGAGGATTCTGTGCTGGGAGTTGGCCGGCAGGTCGTGTCATTCTCTGCAGTTGAGGAATCAACCAAAAACGGCGTTATCAAAATACGTGATGAATCGCAGAAATTATCGGGCCATGGTTTATTGCAATTCTCAGACTTCCGGAACCCCCGTCTGGTCAGCAAGCCTGGTGCCTCCAGGTAAGCGTTGCTTCTTTTCGGTATACAATGCTCTCCTGGCCTTGTTCCCAACGGCACGAATGAAAGCCAAAAGCCTGCACTCCCCACATCGGTCTCCAAGTACAAACCTCCAACTGCCAGGACTCCCTCCCTGGCTTGACATGCCTCTACCGTCTCAAGTCTCAAGGTTTGAGGAGCTATGCATGGGTGGATGCTGATCTCATGTTTATTAAGTGAGGCTACGGAGTGGGTTCTCTAACAAGATGCGGATGCGGAGAGATCTGGGGGAGGAATTCAAGATGCGATCCAGACAACATGATTGGTTGGTCGGAGCTGTTTTCGATATGCTTGACGGGGGTCGATGTTCGATGCGAACAAACTTCGATACAAGTGGACCGCAAAGCATGCTCACGACAAACATACACGCCTCCTTAATGGCCGTGTAAGGAATTAAATTCTGAAGCTGTGAAGCCATGAATCTATATATAAAACACCATTGCGCAGGGCTATTGGTGTGTTTCTCACCATTTCCGGGTCACGGGAGTTGAGCCTGGGCCTTGAAACACGCGACGTTTTGCTGGTGTCGCGACTGACACGCCTCCATCCTGCCGCCGGAGACTCGTCATGGTTTATGCTATGGGATCCATGACCGAATGATTAACGGATTCTGGAGAGATTGATGGTTTTGATCTTGATGAGAGCACATCTTGAATCGAGTACTGGCTGAGAAGACGTTCGCGATCCAAAGTTGGATGCGTTGCGCGCCTATGATAGTATATGGCAACGACGACAATATCATGGACCTCATTGCTGCCAGCAGAATGTATAGATATCGTCTGGTCTACAGGGTATGACTATTTGATCTGTTTCCAGCCTGCCATCTCATACACAAGACACATGTTCCCCCGTTTGAGCCATGTTCAAGCTTCAAACGCGTTTCGCTCCACCATTCTCTCTGCGACCTGATCTCAACCCATCGTCCCTCGCACAGAGACCGAACTGCGAGGGGCTCTGTTCCAGAATGGCGATCATTCAGGTGTCTCTGAATCTTATTTATGCCTTGCGATCCCCATCTGTTGGTCTTTCTTGCCCCATCTCCTCGTCCATCGTCGTTGGTTCTCCATTTCTTTCCGCGCATTTTCTGGATATCCTCTTAATTCATTCTCTATCTGTTCTTTGATTGTCGGCCAGTACGACACAATAGCGCTAGACGCCATTAATATTCGCCCTCTTCATACTCACATTCGCTTTTGAGTCTTTACGTCTTTGAGTCTTGGATCTTCGAGTCAAAATGCAGTTCACAACCTTCGCTTTGTCTGCCTTGAGCATCGGCAGCGCCGTTGGTAAGTCCAGTACCAAGGCTTCTCCCCCTTCTTATACTCACGCATCGCAGCAGCAGCAGCATCATCAATGGCGACTGTCCACGTCGTCCGAGTAGCCTCCGCCAACAACTCCCTCCTGTACTTCCCCAACAACATCAAGGCCGAGGTGGGCGACATGGTACAATTCCAGTTCGCGGCCGGCAACCACACCGTCACACAATCGACCTTCGACAATCCCTGTGAACCCATCGCGATGAACAGCGCCAACACCACCGGCATCTACTCGGGCTTCATGCCCGTGGCCGCCGGCGCCACTACCAGCCCCGTCTACACCATCATGATCAACAACACGACGCCCATCTGGCTATACTGCTCGCAAGCCTCCCACTGCCAAAAAGGCATGACCATGGTCATCAACGAGAAGTAAGCTTCTCCTCCCCTCCCCAATTGGCTCCTCTTCTCTATCCCATACTGACAAGAAGTCCAGTCCCACGGCGAATGCCACGCGCACTCTGGCGAACTATCAAGCCCTCGCCTCAAAGGCCACCGTGAACCTCCCCGGCAACGCCGTGGCGGGCGGTACTGATAGCTCGACCGCGTCTGGCTCCAGCAGCTCCTCGGGTACCTCAGGTAGTACCTCAGGAAGCGCCAGCGGTGCAGATGGATCGAGCAGCTCTGGTAGTGCGGGCAGTGCAGGAAGCGCTGGAAGTGCAGCGAGCGAGAGCAGCGCAGCAACGACGCCCACGAGCAGCTCGACACCGGCTAAATCGACAGCGATCTCTGCGGCGATGGCTGTCACTTACAGTGCCTCCCTTCTCTCCGCAACAAATGAAAAGAAAAGCTTTATTTTATAATAACCCCCCCCCCCCCCGGTTACCATCCCGCACCAAGAATCTAGAAGAACAATGCCATGACCACAGCCAAGATACCACCCATCGCAAGAGACGGCTCATACAACGCGCTTGATGACGCGGGGAGTTCAATAGAGAATTATTGTATATCCAGAACCCCTTTTGTTCTTTTTACTTTCCCTCAGAATCCGCTCTTCTCCCTTCCACCCATATTCCATACACGCCATAATATACAAAGAAATTCGTATGGTTCCCATACCTCCCTCCAACCAATCAACTAATCTACTCCCCCTTTTTCTCCTCCTCCGCCTTAGGAGGATCCCTCCTCTTCCTCCTCGCCTGCGCCGCCTCACAAAGCTTCGGCACTGGATTCTTCTCCTCCCACCCAGGCTCCCTCTTTACACGGCCCACCCTTGGGTATTTACTCGACTTCTCAAAGAAATCAACCCAGCCCTTGAGCGCTTTATGCACTTCCTCCCTCGCTTTCCTCTTCTCCTGCTCGCGCAGAATCTTCAGCTCACGGGCCGTATACAAGGAGTCGATCTCTGGGTCGTCGAGGGGGAGGAACATTTGTTCGAGACCGCGCTGCATCATGGTCGTTAGTTAGTGTGTCGGGGGGAGGGAGAAAGGGGGCAGGGGGGAGGGGATGGGGATGCGTACGAGGTCGGGAGTTATATCCTCTTTGAAACAGCCAGAGACGAAACCTCGCGAGGCGTCGGCGCCGGCGAAGAAATGATAACTGCCTCCTGGACCGTAGTGGCGGCTGCCCAAAGTCACGTCGTAGACGGTGCCGTTGATGGCGAGAAGGATGGGTTTCGTGGGATCGGTCCCATCGTAGGCTTTTAGGTCTGCGTCTGTGTATAGCTGGGGCCCGTTCTGGGGTCTTGTTAGGAGGCTTGAAATTCGAATCCCGTTGATTCAAAGATCACCAAATATAAATACACGGACATAGATAGCTAGGATATAAAGCAAAAGAGATAGGAGGGGAGACTACTCCCTGTAGGCAAAGAGAGATAATAGAGAGAACAGCACATACAATCCAAGCCCGGATCGCAGCCGGCCGTGTCCATCCCGGCCGCTTGATATTCCAGATAAAACTCTCGCGCGTCACGATGTAGGACGTTGCGCCGCATAGCAGAAGTAGGAAGACGAGGCCGCGGCAGAGATCCAGCAGGGTGATGGCGTTGTCTTCGGCGCGCGCCCGCGCCGCTGGCGACAGGGACGGCGACGATTTGGCTTCTTCTTCTTCTTTCTTGGTGCTTCGTTGGCGTAGCTCGGACATTGCGGATTGGAGTGTGAGGGCGGAGGCGGGAGAGAGAGGGATGAAGAGTGCTTAATGTTGTGGTGTTGTTGATATAAATATAGCTACAGCGTCGTCATCGGCCTTGCAGCCGCATCTTTACGCATCTGGGGAGTTACGATCTACAGTATTTTGGTCCCCCGAGTCAGACGGGATGAAGATCAACTTGAGACAAGACTTCAATGGTGGTGAAGGTTTCTGTTTCTTATAGTGATCGCAGTTGCCGCCGCACGTATGATACCTTCAGCCTTGTATTCTTACGGAGTACATCACATCCTTTGAACGCTGTCCCATGCAATACTTCATTTGTATTGATAGTCACTTATCACTGGATTGTATCGAAGCGCCTGACTCGACGTAGAATGCGGATGAGAAGCAATTCGATTGGATATGCTACACCGAGTCCCAAACCCATTGCAATGCCCAATCCATGCCCACTTCTACCACCTTGTCGATTCCGAAAGGAGAGCGGTCATGATATCGTAGAAACAGGTACCGAACGATCTTCTCATTCCGCAGCAGCAACAGCACGGGCTGTCCATCAATCAGCCTCCAATTCGTTGGCATAGATATGCAGGGGCGGGGGACATACTGTAGATGTTCAACTTGCTGTGGCCAACAACCTTCTTGATCTGTCCCTTCTCCTCCAAATCTGCCAGACATCTTCGCGCGAGAGAACCGTTGATCTTTAGTCTGTCGACGAGGGTGGCAACGGTGACGAGACGGTATGATTGGACATCCTTGTAGAGTCTGTCGGAAGTGGCCTTGTCAAGGATGACAGCGTGCTGGGCCTTGTCCTTGACTGTGGGAATTATCAGCTTTGTGTTTCTTATTCTCTACTCTGCTGTCTTCTTCCTAGATGCGACGACGGAGGGGTGCTGGAGGGGATATATTTCCATACCCTTGCCCTTGGACCTATCCAAAAGTGTTAGCTCTGGAAGAGAGACTCATAGAAGCCATTGCAACTACTCACCACTTCTTCTTTTGCTTCTTTGCTCCAGTGTTTGCTGGTGCCATGGTGAACGTCGATGTCTGGAAATATCAAGATGTCGTTGTTCAAGTTTTGTCTTTTCTCCAAGTCCAAATCGCTTTACCTCGCTTGTGAGGGTTGGGGCGGCACAGAAGCCCTCGGCTAGGCCTGGCTGGGCTAGCTGCCACGTGATGGGCCGAACACATTGAATTTCGGGAAGAATTATTTTGACGACCGCATCTCGAACCTCGAAAATCCAAACCACCACGAACCCTCAACGTCAGATCGCAATCATGTCTGACAGCGGAGAAGTCGAAGTCGAGGCCGTCCAGGGCTACCAGGTTCTGCCAAAGGAGGTCACTGAGGAGATTGGAAGCATCAAGCTTTTCAACAAGTGGTACGCTCACCAGGCGGGGGATTGAGATTTGACATGAGAGAGCATTGCTGATGCGCAGTCTGACAGGAGCTACGAGGATGTCGAGATCCGTGACATCTCCTTGACGTAAGGAATCCCAATTGCAGTCGAATACCGGGGCGGACGATGGGCTCGACTGGGAGATCACTCCAGCTAACTTTGCTATCAGCGACTACATCCAGATCCGCGCCCCAGTCTACATCTCCCACACTGCCGGCCGATATGCCCAAAAGCGATTCCGAAAGGCACAATGCCCAATCATTGAGCGTCTCACCAACTCGCTCATGATGAACGGTCGCAACAACGGAAAGAAGCTCATGGCGGTCCGCATTGTTGACCACGCCTTCGAGATCGTGCGTCTACAGGTCCCAGAATCGGGGAAACAGAGAGCGTACTGACAGGAACCAGATCCACATCATGACCGACCAAAACCCCATCCAAGTCGCCGTCGACGCCATCGTCAACTGTGGCCCACGTGAAGATTCCACCCGTATCGGTAGCGCCGGTACCGTCCGTCGTCAAGCCGTCGATGTCTCCCCTCTCCGCCGTGTCAACCAAGCCATTGCCCTCCTCACCATTGGCGCGCGTGAAGCCGCCTTCCGAAACGTGAAGTCTGTTGCTGAGTGTCTGGCGGAAGAGCTGATCAACGCGGCGAAGGGAAGCTCCAACTCATACGCCATCAAGAAGAAGGACGAGCTGGAGCGTGTGGCCAAGAGCAATCGGTAAATTGTGTGCTTTTTTGCTTTGCGGCTGGCATGGGATGGACTGGGGATGGGAGTTGTGTCACGTCATGGATGGCTGGGATCATGGCCACATTCTGTCTGTAGATGAGGATCGAATGCTAGGCTATGACAATCAATCAAACATTGAGATTGCACGACACATGGTTCCTCTGAGTGTGATGTCTGTCTGAACGGGTGCGGAGCTGATCACGGCATACCGATATACAACAACCTCCTCTCCCCCCTTAACCACTAAATGTCCATCCGTCAATCCATTAGATAGCAATCACTATGTTATAAAGATCATACATTACCAACCATCCCCACCCCACCCCTTCACCATCTCATACATCCACTGTACTCTACTTCCTGCAAGCATTCTACTTCAACTCCCGCCTCAAAACTCCAGGACATGAGGGTAAAACCAATACAATCCCCTCCCTCGTTCCCCCCCCCCCTCCCCAACCCAAAAAAAAATAAAAATAAAATAAAAAACTGGCCTACCTGGGCACCTACGTTACATAGGTATTCCCCCTCTACATCTCTATCCCTAGGTAACCTCCCCTTTCCTAAAGAAAAGCTCTTGAAAAAGAAGAAAATGTATAAATACAAACCAAAAACACTTAAACAGCCCCTTATACCCTCCTCTCTTTTCCTCTCTCCTACCCAATCCACTCCCCTCCCCTCCCCTCCTCCCCCCAACACATAATCCCAATTCTCCCCATTCGCCCCACATACAAAAACCAAAACCAAAACACGCGGCTTTAGCTCACTTGGGAGAGCGCCAGACTGAAGTCTAACTTCGGAACTTCGGGAAATTTCTTTCTCTTATCTGGAGGCACTGTGTTCGATCCACAGAAGCCGCATCTTCTTCTGATGTGAATGTGAATCTTGGAGTGTAACCTTGATTTGTTTGTTGGACAGTGTACTTTTTTTGGGGGAGTTTTTTTTGGGGGATTTTTTTGGGGATTTTTTTGGGGAACTTTTTGAATTTTTT